GGGGGCGCAAACGTGATAACGACCGCAGCTATACAGAACAGTAACAGTGGCGCGTAATAGGCTTAACTCATCACAGTCTGAACCTGAACCTGGACAACTTCAACTATTTGGTTACAAATGCGCCCTAACACTACCCCAAAACGACTTTTCTTACTCAATTGGCCCTCTATTAATGACCTGTGTTGCCTGTACAGCGAGGCATTTTGAGAAGGAGAGAACCGTCCGGAATGCTTTAGGTTTATCAATAACGAAGATAAACGGGGTCTGAGTTACACAACGGTAATATTTGAGTCGACTCTCTTAAACTCATTGTAAATATGACTGTTATTCAATCTGAAATAACTCCTGTAATACTTTGTAATTGCTCGAATTCGAGCAACATGTACACTAGTACAGTTATTAATCTGAATGTAAAAAAGGCTTCTGTCAATGGTGTTCATTCGTCTGTAAAATCATACTGCAGTGATGGTGGGGTTACATTGTGCAATCTTAGCCCCACTAATAAAGATGAAATAAAAAAGATTATCCTTTCTCTAAAGAACAAAATTTCGGTAGGCTGGGACGAAATCTCAATTAAATTGATCAAATCTGCTGCTGACATTATCTCCGAACCCTTATCTCTTATTATAAATCAGTGTTTAAAGAATGGTATTTTTCCGGATCAACTCAAGTACTCCCAAATTTCTCCCGTTTTTAAGAAAGGTTCAAAATCAGATATTAATAACTACCGTCCAGTATCAGTATTAAGTAATTTTTGTAAAATATTTGAAAAAGTAATAAGTTATAGACTAGTTAATTATTTTTAAAGTAATAATTTATTTTACAATAAACAATTTGGTTTCCGAAAAAACTTAAGCACAGTTTCTGCTCTTACTCAGTTTGTTAATGAGATTGCAGAGGCCTTGGACAGGTCTCAGGCCACAGCAGGTGTTTTCTGTGACCTGTCTAAGGCTTTTGATTGTGTGGATCACTCACTCCTGTTGCTAAAACTTATTGATTATGGGATTGGGGGAAGTTGCTTTTCTTTAATACAATCTTACCTTTCTGAAAGAAAACAAAGAACTTTAATTTTAGAAGATAACAACAAACATTATTCACCATGGGAAATTATATCCACAGGTGTTCCCCAAGGCTCAGTATTGGGCCCACTTTTTTTTCTTATTTACATTAATGATCTTCCAAAAGCTATTAATAAAGAACTAATTCTTTTTGCCAATGACACTACTGCTTTGATCAAAAATAATAATACAACTGAAATGTTTTCTTCTCTGCAAAGTGTGGTTAAGGACATGGAGCAATGGTTTTTAGAAAATGGGTTAAAACTTAATGTTGAAAAAACAAATATTATTAAATTTTCTACTAGACACAAAAATATGGAAAACTGTTCCTTTAATTTAGTTGAAGCTCATAAATTCTTAGGGGTTTACGTAGATGACGCAGTTAAATGGGATTTACATTTGAATTATTTACGTAACAAAATTAGGTCGATATCATCTTTATTCATACATTTAAGGGACTGTGTTTCTATTGAGACACTTAAAGTAGTTTATCATGCTTATGTGGAGTCAGTGTTAAGATATGGCATAATTTTATGGGGTCAAGCTACTGGTATTAAAACTTTATTCAGGTTACAAAAACGTATTATTCGTATTATTACCAACTCTCATCCACGCAGTTCTTGTAAGAAACATTTTCAAAATTTAAGAATTCATACATTGACGGGGTTGTATATACTAGAATTATTAAATTACATACATTCAGTTAAAAATGAGCTACCAGAAACAATACATTTTAATCACAGGTATGAAACCCGAAATGAAAATATATTTAGACTCCCCAGACACCGTTTGACCCTATATGAAAAATCTCCATTGTACGCTGGGCTGAGATTGTACAATGTGCTTCCGCCATGCTATAAGTCACTAACCAAAACCAAATTTAAAGATACAATAGATAGTTTTCTTATTGACAAGGCTTTTTACTTAATTGAAGATTTTCAGGGCTGTGCGAATCCAGAAATTTTGGTTCGAATCCGAATCCGAATCATAGCTGTACAGATTTTATCGAATCCGGATCGAATCCGAATATTTTAATTAATTCCGAGTCGAATCTGGGTCGAATCCGAATCTCAAATTTACAGCCATTATCGAACCCGGATCGAATCCGAATCTGAAATTTAAAGCTGTTATCGAATCCGAATATTTAAACCTGTTCAGAGTCAAATCCGAATCCGAGGAAAGTCAGCAGTACCAATTTTCACATTTTTAGACCACATTTTCTGGGGCTGAAATAACTTAGGGAATTGCTTAAAAAAATTCTTGAAATGGGCCAAATAAAAAAGTTATAAAATTTAGGCCTACCTATTTGAAGTTTTGAAACTACAAAATTGGGCATTAGTTAGGCCTACCACCTAGGCCTAAGTTACTCGCTAAAAGTGATGGACTACCAATTTGTGTAGTCTAAAACATAGGCCCAGCCTATTATACACCTCGGTGTTAATCCTCCAAACAAGCCTATGTCTGCATTACTATTACAAGTAACAACTAACACTGTGAGGTTAAGTTTACTGATAGCCAAAATAGGGTTCAAATGCGACCTACACTAATGTGCCTAAAGCCTAACACCAAGTTGGTCAGGTTCCTAACATGAACCAGTCAACAGCAAATCGGAGTGCACAAGTAGTTTTTTAGTGTCTAAAAAATTATATTGAAAATTAAATTATATTCAATCAGAATCTAGTAAATTTCAATATCGAATCCCAACTCGGATCTATTTCCAAGAAATTCGAATATCGAATCCGAACCCGGATTTCTTACCAGTAAATTCAAATATCGATTCCGAATCCGAATCCAGTTAGAAACAGTAGATTCATTCTCGAATACAAATCGAATCTCTAAAAAGATTCGGATTCGATTCGTTTTTCGAACTATTCGCACAGCCCTGAAGATTTTTACAGAACTACAATTTAGAATTTTTTTTTTTAAGTGTTTAGTTTTAAGTTAAAAGTTTTAATTTTAAATATTTTATGTATGGATTTAATTTTGACAGTGCACCTATTCTAAATGTTATGACATGTATGGAATGTTTTGTGCAAATAAAGTCTACGTCTATGTCTATGTCTATGTCTACAAAACTAATAGCTATCAAATAAATAAATGTTAAAATAAAATATCTATCCATCCCTGTCGGGTGTCGGTATCGGCGGAATTGGGCGAAATCGACGTTTGGCAATCGATTCTTGATACCGATATTCCTAGTATCGGCCCATCGGTGGTAGCGATAATTTACACTTCCCTATCTAAAACTCATTTTGGAGTCCTAAATTAGTTTTAAATATGCATCGGGACGTAATCGTTGCATCGGGACTTAATCGATGCATCGGTCTTTTTCGATGCATGCTGAATTGAATCAAATTGAATTTTTGATGCATCGCACACCCCTAGTCCTGACTTGAAACACATTGGGACAGGTCTGCACAAGATGATTTATCAGTCTTTCTTTATCAAACCTTTGGTTTCTTCTTAGTTTGACTACTATGCAGTTAGTTCTATGTGAGTTATATATCGTTATTTCCACCTTTGGCTGGGTTTTGTACACTAATTTATCATTTAGGTATTTTTTAGCCAATTTCCGGGGAACGGGGTTTTATGGTATAAAAATTGGGTTTTCTCATTTTTTACCCTCAACATAAAATTTCCCAATTTCTCTCTAGACCTTCTTAAAAAGTTTAAAAAACAAATAATTCAATACATCATAGTGTTTTTGTATGATCATTGGTTACGGAGAAGACTCAAAAAATTTGTAATTTAAAATTCCGATGTTCTTATGGAAAATATTGTAAAATGTTGTTTATGGATATATTTTGTTCAAACTTGGCAAATTTATTGATTCTATACTAAGCTAATTATTTTACTTAAAACGCACATTTTCTTGTAGCAGCAAACCTAGATACTTGCTAAACCTAATGTTATTTTAATAGATTAAATGAAAATCAATTCAGGCAAATGAAAATTTGCTTGGACGTCAGGTTTGCTGCAGCGGGAGTATTTTTATCTGATGATGGAGTTAGTTAGTAAAATTCTTATTGAAAAGTCTGCAATAAAAAAAAAAAATTAAATTAAATCAACATAAACTTACATTATTACTAGGGATGGACGAGATTGGATTTTTAGTTCGAGACGAGACGAGACGAGATTTTTTATTTCTCATAAAATTTCGAGACGAGATCGAGACGAGATTTCTCTTCTCATACACAACGGGAAATGCACGTTCGAAATTTTTACCTGATTTTGTAACATTGTTAGATGACTGTTTAAATACTAAAATAATGATAATAGGCAAGAATATTTACAATCTTTCATTAAATAACATCAGCATAACATTTTTTTATTAATCACGCCTAACTTATTAAAAATGCCTATGATTAGGAAACATGGTGATATCAGTTAGGATAGAGTTCAACTTATCCTAAAATAAAATAAATCATAAAATAAAAGCAATATTAATTTTTATAAAATAGTTACTTGTTTTGACTTTTTTATAGTAATAAAACATTCCTCACACTGCTTACACTTAACAAAACTTCTCAAATGTTATTAAAGTAATATTATTAAAATAATGAAAGTAATATTTACATTAAAAGAATTAAAGTAATATTTACATTAAAAGAATTAATTAAATAAGAACGCCTTCGAAAAGGAAACGCAACTACAACACGCTCCTGTATTGCGGGTATTGCATTGACTTTCTGCAGGCGTTTTTAATTTTTTTTTTTAAATTTTTTTTTTTATTCTCGTCTTGATAAAAATCTCGGCCAAAAAGTAATCTTGTCTCGTGTAACGAGATTGAAAATTTCCCGAAAATTTCCCGAAATTTCGAGACTTGACCATCCCTAATTATTACATACAACAATTTAACAAAGAAGTGTATATTGTTTATAAACCTTGTTACTTCACTGTATTACTCTTGTATTTTTCATTGTATTGTGTGTTTTGCACCAGGATGAGATGGAGTTGGAGTTTGAGCTGAAGGAGATCGTAGAGGGAGAGGAGGAGGGAGGTCGGCGTGCCACACTGAGTCAGCTGGTGGCACAACAGGCCAAGTTCCTGGAGGAGGCGCGCCAAGTACACACCAGTCAGCTGCTCGGTGCCATGGCGCAGCTGTGTCACATGGACACTACGCTGGCGGAGACTGTGTGGCTGCAACTGTTCCCCAGACTGTGGGCGATACTCAGCACCAGGCAGCAGGAGGTGAGACTACTCAGTGTCCTAAAACCCATCTCCCAAAGAAATAAACTAAGGCTGAAAGATATGTTGTTGAACAACCTCTGACACTTCACTTACTGACATTTCATAATTTGTCAAACATGTTTCCTACTACTTGAATCATGCATCTATTCTTAATGAAACTGAAGACGTTCAATATGAGTAATATGACAGCAGTCATAAGGTCCAAAATTAGTGATGGGGAAGTAAAAAAAATCAATTTGGATTTCCTTTCTTATTTTGAAGAAATAGTATGGAAATGTAGTCGGAAATAATTACTATGGTCATGACCATCTAAACATTACAAAAATTTTATGATTTAATAGTGACTAGCCTGTTTCAAAATTAGTAATTTGGGTACTAAAATGCTTACTTTGATTCTACGTTTTAATTTTATTTACAATTTCAATTCCAGACAAAATTAAGGTACACAATAAATAAATACAAACTTTTTTAAGCTAATAAAGAAAGGCGATTGAAAAGCTAACAATAAAAAAAATATGATAAATATTTGCTCTTTAAAATTACAGATATTTGCTAAGTTATTAAAAAATTTAGAAAATGAAAATATTTATTCCTATTTTCTAGCAGATTTGAATAGCCTACAGGAATTTGTTTTTTTGGGACATACACTTTATGATACTATTTTAACTATATAAGTCTGTGCGGTTGAAAATGTACTATGTTGACAAATTTGCCTTTTAGCGAATTTCCCTATAGGGAAGTAGCTATTACCGTAGGTCTCATGGTAAGACCTAAGCCCGGGACCGATTTACTTTTTCATTTTGATGTCCCCAGAGGCCAAAAACACCATTCGTTCAAATTTTTATATATCTATATATAGATATATATATATATATATATATATATATATATATAGATATATATATATATATATATATATATATATATATATATATATGTGTCCATCCGCACGATAACTTGAGTAATTTTTGTCCGATTTTCATAAAATTTGGTTTAAAGGTGTAAGGCGGGATAAACTTGAATGAGTTCGCGAACCAGCATGATCGGACTATGGGAACGGGTGTTTATGGGGGGTTTTATGGGGTAAAAATAGGTTTTTCCCACTTTTGACCATAAAAACACAAAATTTCACAATTTCTTTTTAAACCATTTTGTAGAGCTTAAAAAAACAAATAATTTAGTATATTGAAGCGTTATAATGCGCCTAACTGTTACGGAGAAAATTCAAAAAAATTGTAATTTTAAATTCCCATGTTATTCTTATGGAGAATAAGTCAACTGTTGTAGTTTGCTTGTTTATGAACATATTTTGATCAAATTTGGAAAATACATTTTGTACTAAACCACAGTACTTTTTAACATTTTACATTAAAAAAAATTTTTACCCTCCCTGTTGCAGCAAACCTAAGTACTCACTAAACTAATTCTGTTTAAATAGGGAATAAGTGTGATATTTTTAAGGAGACATTTTAGTTTAAATCCAATCAGGCAAATGGAAATTCGCTAAGTCTGCAGGTTTGCTGCGGCGGGGTATTATTGTAAGCCATGAACAGCATAGTAAATCATGTACTCAGAAATGTGTTTGTTTGGTACCAGTGTTTACTTATTGTTAGTTAATACATTGAGCATTGCCACATTAATGGTTTTTGTTGTGTGATCAGTCCTTGACCGGAGAGATTATGCCGTTTTTGGTGAGCGGAAGTCACGTTATCCAGAAAGACATTCATCCCAGCTCTATTGCAGTTTTCTTCGAAGCACTGTCACACTGCAATCCCCCAGTTGCAGTCAAACCGTAAGTATCATTGGTGCCATCCTTGATCGTGGTAAGCCTCCTAATTCTAACTGATAACTGATATCCAACCAACAGGAATCAATGTGTGTGGATGGACAAAAGAACAATAACAGCATTGTTTGATTTTATGATTTAAATCTATTGTTTGTGAAAATATGAATTTAAATTGATACGATATTTAGAGGTGAATGATGTTTATTTGTATTTCCAAGTAAAATAGGTAAAATGCTTCTATTTCTAATCTGCTGTTACTTACTAAGTTAATGATGTTGAATTGTAGGATAAGAAGGGTAGCAGCTTTTCTTGAAGAAGTGCAGGTAGGCAGAAGAGACACTGAACACTCAATATTTTGTCCCCTAATTAAATTACATTAAGGAATAAAGTACAGATACACAATATATAACTTCAAGAGTTTCAGGCAGTTGGAAGCACACATAAAGACCACAACACATAAAGTTGATATTTCATTCCTGTAACTTCGTCTTTTCAGAGGAATTAAAAAAAAGTCCTTTATTAGCAACAATAATTTAGATTTTCCAACCAGTGTTACATTTTGTAACTGCCATTCTGAAGAAGCTATTGGAGGGACAGACTATCAATTAAATGTGTTTTTAACTATTTTTGTGCTATAAATTGCCTGAAACTTGTATCTTATAGCCTATGTGTTGCTTTGCTTGTTCTGTTAATTCCTTCATTTTCAATGCATATTGATGCATTTTTGGAGGCAAAACTAAATAATGTTTCTTGGCAGGAGTGTGATGTCATATCTGGGTAAGGCCCACAACTTGTGGCACCGTATGACTCTCAGCCTAGAGAAGTTGGCGACAGAGCAGCAAGCTCAACAGTTGCAGACCAAAAACCGGAGGGACCCCATTGAGTGTTACGACTTTGAACCAGATATTGCCCCTCAGCAGGTAAGAGGTGTTGATTGTAAAGTAGGGATGGTCAAGTCTCGAAATTTCGGGAAATTTTCGGGAAATTTTAAATCTCGTTACACGAGACGAGACTTCTTTTTGGCCGAGATTTTTATCGAGACGAGAATATAAAAAAAAAAAAAAAAAAAAATTAAAAACGCCTGCAGAAAGTCAATGCAATACCCGCAATACAGGAGCGTGTTGTAGTTGCGTTTCCTTTGCGAAGGCGTTCTTATTTAATTAATTCTTCAAATGTAAATATTACTTTAATTATTTTAATAACATTTGAGAAGTTTTGCTAAGTGTTAGCAGTGTGAGGAATGTTTTATTACTATAAAAAAGTCAAAACAAGTAACTATTTTATAAAAATTAATATTTTATTTTATGATTTATTTTATTTTAGGATAAGTTGAACTCTATCCTAACTGATATCACTATGTTTTCTAATCGTAGGCATTTTTAATAAGTTAGGCGTGATTAATAAAAAAATGTTTTGCTGATGTTTTTTAATAAAATATTGTTAATATTCTTGCCTATTATCATTATTTTTGTATTTAAACAGTCATCTAACAATGTTACAAAATCAGGTAAAAATTCCGAACGTGCATTTCCCGTTGTGTATGAGAAGGGAAATCCCGTCTCGATCTCGTCTCGAAATTTTATGAGAAATAAAAAATCTCGTCTCGTCTCGTCTCGAACAAAAAATCCAATCTCGTCCATCCCTATTGTAAAGTTAAGGAATTTTGAATGTTAAATCCAAATCCAGATTTTAAGATATTTAGTTTAGACTACTCTTACTTACTTACTTGCTGCCATGGCTCCACAAATCTCAGCCGATTCCTTGCCTCGTATACCAGCCTCTTCCACCCTTCTCTGTCTTCTGCCAAGTTGACGTTTGCACCCATCGTCCTGACGTCGTGCACAACTTGGTTAGTCAATCTCAATTTCAGCCTTCCCAACGGACGTTTACCTCCAGGTGTGGCTTCACACAGTCTTTAGTCTTGTTCCTTTCTATCTTCTTAGCACATGCCCTTACCTCCAACTTAACACTCTTCATTTAAACATTGCAACAATATCCGGGTCGGTGTATAGTGATCTTTTCTAATTTGGTATTCTAAAACATTGAATCGAAAAAAAAGTATTAAACCTGAATCGTAGCAATGACATTATGGGATTTCAGTGACATCCTTGAGCATTATTGTGAGTAGGGCAACATTCTGATCATTACATAGAATCACAATAATATTGTACAGTTCTTGTACAGAAAAAAACTTTAAGTTTAAACTGGCTATAAACCTGAAATAAAAAGTACTCTGAAAAATAAGTAGGTGTCGTAGGGTAGGCAAATTGCAGTAGCTATTAAATGCAAGATCCTGGGTTGTATTTTCAAATCCAGCCAGTAAAATCTCAATTTTTCTTTTAACTTTGGATCCAGTGAATTCAATTTGACAATTCACTACTGTTAACCTAAGTTCTCTGTTAAGCACCAAAGTAATGATTTTATCAATTCAAATTCTGCACTATTTACTGTTTCACACAAATTACAATATTGTTAATTACAAAAATATCAGGAACATTAGCTTTCATCTAAATAATACTTTGAGATAATCAATCGGTTCATAACAGAATATTTCATAAAGTTGGTGTATTTAATGTTGTAGGGTATCATGGATCACCTAGCAGAGATGTACTTGACACTGAAGGAGGAGGACATGTGGTGCGGCCTGTGGCAGAAACATGCCAAGTATCGGGAGACTAGCATCGCCTTGTCCTACGAGCAACAGGGCTTCTTCGAGCAGGCGCTGGGGGCATATGAGCTGGCGCTGGGCAAGGGACGACAGGACTACGCCTCCAACCCTGCGCCTCTCAGTCTAGTCAGTGAGGAGAGACTGTGGGAGCGACAGTGGATCAGGTAGTTTGGCAGTGAATAGGATAATTTCCCTTGCTTTCTAACCAACAGGAATTCCTCTTTATGTTAAGGATGGAGCATACAGCCTAAAGGCCTACGTTTAACAAATTTTTTTCACTAAGCAGCTTGCTCTGACTTTGTTGATGCTTTCACTGACTGACACATACATTTTTAACAAAGGAAGTTTTGATTTGGGGAGTTAATTATCTTCAGGTCTAATGGTGGCTAGTTAACCAGTATTAAACCTATATGGTCGAATATGCACATATTGGCAACACAGTCAATACCTTCCTGGACACCATTTGACATAAAGACATCTCTCTTCCCAAATCAATTTGTCTTTTGTTGAAAATGCTGTCAGTGACATTGGGAATTTATTCCTCTATGTAGGCTATTGTGGGTAACGTAAAGAACTTTGTGTTTCTTATGATGCCTATTTCCCATTTATATAAGGCTGCCATTTTGATCAAAATCCTTCCTAGGCCTTTGTGCTCTACAATACATGCTCAACCTCTTATTTATGTTAGTTATTATCACAAAAGGAAAATAGCTAAATGTAATGCTATAAAATATTTTATAGGGAAGAAAAACAAGTTTTGACAAATCATTATTATTATTTTTTTCGTCAAACAACTTCAGGTTTTCTTTTTTTTCTCAATCAATCATTCGGGCACTGTCTCTGTACTCTGCAGTGCAAACAAACAGTTCAAACATGGTCTACAAACCATGAAAAACAAAGAGGACCAAATATATAAGCAATCTAAATAGTATTCCGTAGATTATAAAGCAATTACCTATTTCATTACATTTAGATTTTTTTTGTGCTGCCAATTACTTTGTTTCAAGTTAACAAACTGCCGTAGAAATAATATATTTATGAATCTTTTGTTTTGGGAAAAAATGTAAACATTTTGTTTGTTAGCTTTTATGCATCAACTGGACCTCGCCGACAAGTTTTTTAAACTTGGTGTTCAGCCAATCTGTTGTAATTTCTATAATATATATTTAAATATTTGAATGTACTCCTGCTACTAGAATAAACTGTAGTGTGTAAATAAAGTCTTTTCATTAGGTTCAGGTATTACAAAGATCACTACTAAGAACGTATACATGTGTTAGTTCAGGGTTCCCTAAAAGGTTTTTTAACATTCTGGAAAAGGTACATAAATTAAAATTAATTATTGATTCATTAATTAACTGATTCATATTCATGTTATTTCAGATGTTCCAAAGAACTGAATCAGTGGGAGCATCTACTGGAGTATGCTAAAACCAGAAACCATGTAAATCCATTCTTGATACTGGAATGTGCTTGGAGAGTGCCTGACTGGAGTCTTATGAAAGAAGCTTTGAATCATGTGGAGAATAATTGCCCCAACGATATGCTGTGGAAGGTAACTAGATTTATAGTAGGGATGGTCAAGTCTCGAAATTTCGGGAAATTTTCAGGAAATTTTAAATCTCGTTACACAAGACGAGATTTATTTTTGGCCAAGATTTTTATCAAGACGAGAATAAAAAAAAAAAATTAAAAAAAATTAAAAACGCCTGCAGAAAGTCAATGCAATACCCGCAATACAGTAGCGTGTTGTAGTCGTGTTTCCTTTGCGAAGGCGTTCTTATTTAATTAATTCTTTAAATGTAAATATTACTTTAATTATTTTAATAATATTACTTTAATAACATTTGAGAAGTTTTGTTAAGTTTAAGCAGTGTGAGTAATGTTTTATTACTATAAAAAGTCAAAACAAGTAACTATTTTATAAAAATTAATATTGCTTTTATTTTATGATTTATTTTATTTTAGGATAAGTTGAACTCTATCCTAACTGATATCACTATGTTTTCTAATCGTAGGCATTTTTAATAAGTTAGGCGTGATAAATAAAAAAAATGTTATGCTGGTGTTTTTTAATAAAAGATTGTAAATATTCTTGCCTATTATCATTATTTTTGTATTTAAACAGTCATCTAACAATGTTACAAAATCAGGTAAAAATTTTGAACGTGCATTTCCCGTTGTGTATGAGAAGGGAAATCCCGTCTCGATCTCGTCTCGAAATTTTATGAGAAATAAAAAATCTCGTCTCGTCTCGTCTCGAACTAAAAATCCAATCTCGTCCATCCCTAATAGTTAATAATCCATATAAGCTAATGTAAGCTACTAGTCGGCGAAAAAATTACCACCTGGAATCGAAGGGATCGGAATCGACTTTAGGCGATCGATTCCCGATTCCGATTCTAAGCCAAGCATCAGTGGAATCGAGAATCGAAGATGGAATCGACCCATCCCTATAATTAATATTAAAAGCTGTATTGTACGGAAGCAGCACCTAACACAATGTTGGTGTTGACAGGTGCACCTGTACAAGGGGTTCCTCTCAATCTGTCCGCCTGATGAGCAGCACCTACAGTTGGTGGAGCGTCATGTCAAGAACGCCAGTGCCACCTGTATGAGAGAGTGGCGGCGCCTGCCTCACATTGTCTCTCACATACACCTGCCTCTGCTACAGGCTGCTCAACAGGTAACATTAGGAGAGCATGATAATTACTGTGTTATCACAAATTGTCTGATGTTCGCTGGTTCAATAACAATTTGGGTTTATTATGGACTTCAATTACGATTAAAATGTAAAAAAAAAATATTCAGTTTTTTTTTTTATGTATAATCTAACTATTAATTGTGTTAGCTCAAAGATATCTGAACAAATTTTCTCTATGACAGATTATGGAGTTGCAAGAAGCGTCGCAGATACACCAGGGTATCCTGCACGAGCGCAACAACACCTTCCAGGACATGAAGGCCATAGTGAAGACCTGGCGCAACAGACTGCCAGTGATCGCAGACGACCTGAGTCACTGGAGCGATGTATTCACCTGGAGACAACATCACTACCAGTTCATCCTCAGTCACTACGACTCTCAACACGACCAGGTCAACAACAGCCAGAGTATGCTGGGCACACATGCATCCGCACAGGTACTGGCAGTCATTGGTGAACCAACAATGTGGAATTTTTTTGGCTTACCTCATTCGTCCAAATCTATACTTATTTAATACGCAAGCAGGATTTTTGTGACAATTACTCCTCCGAAACTACTGAACCGATTGACATGTTTTTGGTGTCATTGGAAAGAGGGTAACGTGAAGTATTGCAGGAAACTTTCATTTTAGGGAAATAATGAGAGATTGAGGCCCTGGAGCCCTTTAAAGTTTCGTATTTCTCCATAAGGATAACATGGGAGATAATTTTTATTTACAGAAACATATGTTTGTTACTTGAAAATAGTCAAAGTCTATTACATAATAATTTCTGTGTATTATGACTCTTAATGTATATCTACTACATTTCAATCGAGGGTTGTGTGCCTTAAAGTTTACCCATAATGGATCTTACTACTTTATTTTAATGCTGGGAATAGTAAAATTTAGTGGAGGATAAGTTACCATGATTTAGAAAACTTTATTATAATAATTTGTGTATTTAAATCACAAATCTTTGACATTATTAATTCATTTGAAACTAAACAGCTGATCGACAAATCAAACAAATCATCTACTTCATGTGAATAATGTTATTACACAAACATAGTTTTTTTTAAACCAATATCTTGATTCTTTTTCATTTGTGGGTGTATTTTGAGTTTGCAGTTATGAAAGCACCAAGCCAAGTAACTTTTATCTAATTTTCTTTATAAACTAACAGTATTAATGAATTACTACATGAACTTGACAAGTCAGGTAATAAATTGTCAGTATACGAAGGGGAAGAATAGTGGGTCCTTGAAAAAAGACGAAGGCGGAGACACCCATCTAGAAAATCCAACTGAGTGTTTAAATATAGAGGTCAGTGGATTGCCAAGACACAGATTAGACTAATAAAAGGGGGCAGTGGTTTTATTGATGAGGAATATCAATACATCAAAAAGGGCCTATAATGGCACAAGGCTTCATGTGATCAGAATGGTTAACAACTTAATAGAATGTAAAGTCTTAACTGGAACAAGTGAGTGGGGACATATTTTGATTTCGAGGATAAAAATTAACCGTCTGAAACAAACTTACCTTTTAACATGGAAAGATGCTAATTTCTGTTACCTTTGGCATTTGCAGCGCTATATTATGTGTTGTTTTAAGTAAGGCTACATATTTTAATAGGATATGCATATTCGTTACGGAAAACTCTGACCAGGGTAATCTTCATGAAGGTAACTTTAAGGCTAAAATCGTAGTATTCATGGAAGTGCTTTTGTGATAAAAATATAGTTTTTTAGTGTTTATTTAAAAGTGGGTTTTCTTCAATCAGCATTTTTATGACCCTCAAAATATGCTACATAGGCCTATTGGTTTGATGTGATAAAATGTTTTGTTAAATGTGTTATACAAATCTTTAAAACATAACAACCCTATAACCTTGCTCGCTGCCTATAACATACTAGAACTTGAACACTTATTAATTTACTAAATATAATACACATACAGCTAGAAAATGGCTGGACTGCTTCTTTCCCAAGGCTACATTATTACTGTATTTAATTTTCGACGTCGAGTCAATATATGATACGACAAATTTGTTTTCTAAATTCATATGTTATTTTGTGGGGCATTGAGCCGCACAGGTTCACTAGTTACATTAAAATTTCAATTACTTACAGATGACATTTTCTTGCAATGCAACATTTTCGGAGCTTACAACACATCAAAACCATCAAAATTTCACACGAAACAGTACATTACACCCAAGATATTTACATAAACCACAAAACACAATAGCTCTATCATGACACATCAGCGGTTGTAGGTGGACTGGACAGGGGTTATGTAACAGAGAAGGACGGGATAAAGTTACATAACCAGTCTACCAGTCCACCTACAACCGCTGCAGTGTCATGATAGCGCTATTGTGTTTTGTGTTGTGTTGTTTATGTAAATATCTTGGGTGTAATGTACTGTTTCGTGTTAAATTTTGATGGTTTTGATGTGTTGCAAGCTCCAAAGATGTTGCGTTGCAACGAAACATGTCAGCTGTAATCAATTGAAATGTTGATGTAATTTGGACTACTGATAGAGGTAAGCCTATAAAGTCATATATATGTAGTAAATAATTTTAGAGCAGTAAAGGATGATAGTTGGATGAAGTCACTGATAAGAGTCAGGTTGTACATTATTTACACTCAGTTCAGTGATTGGATTCAATCATTTTGGCCTGCCACGTGATAGTGCTAGCAACTTTTATTTTGATTTCATAATGGTGACAACACAGGTTTTTCCCAATATTGTGGGATCTGAAAACATGGATTAAAAATGGATTAACAACAACAAAAGGTAAGTAAGTAATCTATCATCGTAGAGACCAAAATGAATAAACACCTTAACTTAATCTCAGAGGTAAAAAACAGTGTGTGTTCTTTTTAAAGACTACATTTGTAATGCTTGTGTTTTAGGCGATCATCCACTTTGGCAAGATAGCCAGGAAGCACAACCTGACTGGAGTGTGTCTGGACTCTCTGTCCAGGATATACACCATGCCTAGCATCACTGTGGGAGACTCCTTCCAGAAGATACGACAGACAGTCAAGTGCTACCTGCAGATGGCCACACTCTCTGGCAAGAATGAATTGCAAGAGGTGAGCCATTCTGTTACATTGATTATTTTTGTTTAAAATCCCCAACCATATCTTATGGCATTTTCCAATAAATTTTAGGTCACCATTAACTGCAAAAGGACTTTGATTTACAAAATAGTTTTTCCAGCAGCACTCAAGTTTCTCATGATTTGTCAAAAGTTATCGTTTGATCAATACTACAATTATTAAAAATGACTTATAAAGCCAAGACAAGTTTTCTACAGGTATGTCATAGTTTATTAGATTTATTCTCCCTACAGAGATAATTTAATAATAACCATTAGATTAACCATTAATATCATTTTTTCCAGGCATTGGAAGTGGTAGAGCTGACAAACTTGAAACATTTCAAAAAAGAAATGACTGCAGAATTCTACGCTCTGAAAGGAATGCTGTTGTCACAAATAGGTCAGTTTGTTTAAATTGTGTCATACCAAGGGCGGTTTATTAAGTAAGAGCCGATTTTGCGTATGAATCGTAGCCCGCTTGTATGGCACAACAAGTCTCATCACCATTTACTGGCATCATTTGTGAACAGAATGATACCAATTTCAGCTATGTAGCTGTAGCGCTTTGCTGTGTGATTTAAAAAATTGTTAAACAATAAAATTTCCCTCCACTTCCGAGGTAAGGTCAGTGAAACGTTTTGTGATTACAAGAAACATATCCGATGCTGTCAGTCATCGCCAAATGACTGAAGATGGGTTATGGAGTGTGAAAATGGTCATGAAATACTTTTTTGTTTGTGGTCTTCTTTGAGCATTTTCATTGCCATTTTTAAACTCCCTAGCCTGTTTCTGCACTTTCCACGCTATCTTTGCATCAAGCAATGATCTTAGTCTGGCAATGACTATCGGCCTCTAGAAATATATTGATTACAACTATCTTACTTGGGGAAGCAGTTCCCATGTCTAGGTAACGCAGCAGCTTATACAGGGTTAGTAAAAAGTGTGGAGACCCCCTGTTATTTTTTTAACGGCCCATACTAGAGAAACTAAACTCGGCACACCTTTATGGCACTGCTATGACGTACTTTTTGGGCATAACCGCCACTTGGTGTACATCTCAAAATGGGGGATTTTGGGGGAAACTCAAAAATTTCAAATCGAAAGATTGAATATAAAATTGCAATTTATTTCTGACTTCTAAAGATTTCAATCAGCTTCCATTTTTTATTAGATTGAGATAGAAACCTCTAGTTTGAGTTCTTAGTTTTATTTTATTTTGACCTTCAAAATGAGGGGTCACTCAATGGGGCTTATCATTTAACATTTTTTAGTTTCCCCCAAAATCCCCCATTTTGGGTTTGGGAACCAAGTGGCTATTAGGCTTAAAAGGTACTTCATAACATGCCAAAAAGGTGTGTAGAGTATAGTTTTCCTAGTATGGGCCGTTAAAAAAATAACAGGGGGTCTCCACATTTTTTACTAACCCTGTATGGTTTCATTTTGAAAGGTCACATATCATTAGTGTAAGAATTTTCATGAGAGTTTGTTGAAGAGAAATGTAATGACTGTAAGGTTAGCAACTGGTTTTAGCCTCAGTGGTCAAACTTCAAATTTGGTCACATAAAGAAAAAAGTTCATTTAAGTTTTATTTGAATTGCCTAAAAGTGTTGTTAGTGTACAGATAATTTGATGGTGTATTACGCTTGCAACATGACTAGATTTTTTTCTCCGTAGTGACCACAGTTAGTAACATGGATGATTGCACCAGCTTTAACTTTATCTGAATGTGCTCTTTGAAGAAGTGGTACACTTAGATGAAAGACTGGTGTTATAGTTGTTATGTGTGTCACAGGGCGTACGGAGGACGCACACAAGGCGTTCTCAGCAGCTGTGCAGATGCACGACACACTGGTGAAGGCGTGGGCGCTGTGGGGAGACTACATGGAGCAGCAGTTCACCAAACAGACCCCACCTAACATATCTACAGGCATTGCAGCAATCACATGCTTCCTACACGCCTGCAGACATCAGAACGAGAGCAAGTCTCGCAAATACCTGGCAAAGGTACTATCCACCAACTAATTGGAACTAAAGACTTACTCCTGGTTTTGCCGAGGATAATTTTAAGTTATCTTTCGATCCGTTGTATGTTATTGACACTTTTAAGTACAAATGTGTTATTCATGGATCCCAGGTTTACCGGTAATTTTAAACATCCATAGGCCCTTTCTTTGAATACAGTTTAACTTCCCCTCCAGATTCCTCAACCAAAAACAAAATTATTATTCAAGCAGATGTGTCTTTTGATTTTAGTGAATTTAATTTGTAGGTTTTGTACTGTCGATAAACAAACATTGCTCACATCTAACTGTACCAAACCCTTATCTTTACCAACCACTTGTATTTAAAAAAATAATATTAAATCCAATTTTCGCAATGGTTTTGGCTTTACATAGTTTTCATGTAGTCAGGAAAATATTTCATTTAATTTATCAAAGCATTATCTAAAATTTGAATCACATACCTAACTGTACTTGACGGTTAGCCTCAAATTGATACTTTTTTCCACAGACAAGAATGTATTTTTTCAGTTCTTCATGAATTTATCTCCTATTGTGTTTACAAAAAAGTCTAGTTCATTATGAAGAGTCGTTGGTCTAACACGGTATTCTATGACAGGTCCTATGGCTACTGACATATGATGATGAGAAGTTCTCACTGGCCGAGGCTGTAGACAAGTACGTGGTGGGAGTGCCTCCCATACAGTGGCTGCCCTGGATACCTCAACTGCTCACATGTCTTGTGAGGAACGAGGGCAAACTCATGCTCAATCTGCTCAGCCAGGTGTGATGTTTCTTAGTTTGGATATTTAATTTTAAATTATCAATCGACAAAAATTGGTTTCACAGAAATGTTATGTGGCTGATTATAGTCTTCTTCAAAAAAGGGTTGAGTTCAGCTAGCTTACCTGTGAAAGAGTCTAGAGCCATATAAAATCAAAATAAATGTATTTAATAACCTTTCCGCAAATAAAGATAGAAATAAATCCCTGGATCCCAATGTTCTCAGGTAATCTGGCTAAACTTCCTAAAAAATAAACCTAATCATCAAAAATTTTATTGAAAACAACTTTGTTACAACAAGTTTTATAGTGACAAATTTTTTAAACTTCCTTTTAAATTTGCTTTAGGTCAGCAATATTCTTCACCTCAACTTGGCAGGTAGTTTGTCGAAAACTATTTTCCATGCACAACTTGCTTTTAGTGTTTCTGTTGGATTTATGACTGTAACAATAATGACAATGACAATATACCACCTTGTAATTTTTTTTTTGGTTCGGTTTTGGTAGGATCTTGTTTTGAAGATCCTGATTGATAATTTCATGAACAAGTCCTAGGGTTATTATTTCGCAAATAGTTTAGACCACTTGGTCATAGATATTTTAGGTGACATATTTTTGGTAAATGGTAACTGTAGGGGGAATAAAATAATGGTGAAGAGTAGTTAAGGTGATAAAGCATACCTGTGTTGATAGGTGGGCCGCACATATCCCCAGGCTGTCTACTTCCCGTTGCGCACTCTCTACTTGACTCTCAAGATAGAGCAAAGGGAACGCTACAAGAGTGCGGAGCTGGCGGCTGCTCTTGCAGGCAAACAGGTGAGTCATGCTGGTGTTGTTGTTGAAAAGTTCAGTGAAATCTAACGTTGCTCACCCCTTGCTTTTCTTAATTACATCCTACAAAGAAGGCTCGATGCACTTGTGGACAAGGTTGAAAGAAGCCACCAACTGGCTAAAAATATTGATACATTTCCCCAAATTGTTATAACATTTTTTAGTATATTTTAATTTGTAATGGAAATAAAAATTTAAGTTTAATAAAAATTTAAATTAATATTTATTCCAATGTTTTATATAATCTTTAAACTTATCTTTATCTTTACACGTTCCCATAGCACATAGTAAATTTTTATTTCATTTTAAACTTTTTCTTCAATTGCAAATTAGTCCAAAAAATATATAATTTTTAACAACTCGAGTCTACGCACAGACCACTGAGGTCTATGTAGACTAATTTCCATTATCTATTACATTAGTTATTATTCTAGCCGGAGCAAACATATTTCAACTAGTATTTAAGTTTTTACTATTATAACTTTATAAATTTAATTTTACTAGAATTATTTTACGTAAACAATGTACTGTATAATGCTTCAAGACTATATATATTCGTATTTTATTTTTTTGAAAAATTGTAAATTTTTTATATATTGTGGAAATAAAACTGATTTGATTTTATTTGATTTGATTTGATTTGATAATTTTTACCTTGCAAATAGTAACTATCTCCACCGACATAATTTGTTTACCAATCTTATTTTCCTTGCAGTAATGTATAAAGATTTGATTGAATTTTACTGTGTGTGACTTAGATCACCAAACTTGCTACTGTAGATTAAAAGTTGCTTGAAGAGGTCGATGAAATATCTCCCATTTTTTGAGGAATGTGCTGAAGACATCATGTAAAATGTTGGGTAGTTGTAGTTTGATCCTTGGCAATAAAAAGCAGTAAAAAAGTATAGTTAAAGCCATATTATAATGATATTTTAAAACACATATTGATGTGTGTATATTAACAATTCACAACCTTTACATCACATTTATCATTCTTAATTTGTGTTGAATACAATTTTTATATTTTACAGGCTCAAGGCCAAGGCACTCCAGGAACTTCAGACACTCAGCAGAGTAAGTTAGTTTATAGTTTTGGTTATGTTTACATCTTAGCTTAACAATACTCCTTTAATACTTTTGTTGATTGTAATTATTATATGATGCATTTATTAGAACCTTAGTAAAGTGAAAGTCATATTAATATTACAGATTCAACATTTTGTAGACTTTTGAATAGATAGAATCCAGTTAGCTTGCTTGAAAAGGTCTAAGGGCTTATAGATGCATCGTAAGAAATCTAAACTCAAAAGTAAAGGTCACTTAACAACACAATACTGATATTTAATTTACTACTACTAATGTATGACTTTTTGTTGAAAAAAAAAACTATTCTCTAGAATATACTCCCTAAACAAGTCGTTTACTAGGAAAATATATCAGAATTTTGTCGGGTGACCTTTCTTTCTCTCTGACCCTAATTTTTTATGCAAGCTAGCTAAATTCTATTCTCCTTTCAAGAAATTTATCATCAGTCAAATAGCTTTCCTTTAAAATATAACCTAAAAATATTAACATTTTTTTTGTTATTGTAGAAGAATGAAGCCAGCTGCTATCCTGCTTATTATACGATTAAAAATCCTGGCGTAGAGCCTTTCCTTGAACAAAATTTTTCTCAATATTAAGTGGATAGACTGTTAAATATCAAACATTTTTTCTGTATGTTGTCTACTGTGAGATGACAGTAATAACCCTATGTTGGTTGCAGGACCAGGACAGCCAGAGCCTGGTCCTATGAAGGCCACACCCTCCATGCTACGTTGTTCTCACATCATGAGGATGCAGAGAGACATCCACCCTACTATACTCTCCTCTCTAGAGGGCGTAGTTGATCAGGTAAATCATTTGAGATTTTCTTCTTGCTTTACTACTGAATTCGATCAAATGGAAAGATAAGAGTTTCTGTCCTATGTGAACTGGAATAGAATGTAATCTGATATTGTGTTGTGTAGTCAAATTCAGAAATAGCTAAATTTAAATTAGATTTCAAACCCTACAAGATAATGTCTTGAACCCAAGTACATTTTGTTTAAATTACTATTGACACACTTTCACTATTGACTTATTGAATTAATTCCAAAACCTTTAAAATTGAAGATGATTATTTGAATTATTTCATCTGATTGTTTATATTTTGTTAGGTGGTGTGGTTCAGAGAGAACTGGTACGAGGAGGTGTTGCGGCAACTGAGACAAGGGCTGGCCAAGTGTTATCTGATTGCTTTTGAAAACAGAAAGGCTGTCAACGAAGCCACTATCACGCCACACACGCTGCACTTTGTCAAGAAGATTGTATCTACCTTTGGAATTGGTGTTGGTAAGTACACAGTTCTCAAATATAATTTTTGTTCTTTCATTCAGACCCTAAATGGAATCATTGTATAAGCAAAGAAAATTCTGTGATGCAGAGAAAGATTTAGTCTCAGACCTATCTTTTTAGTTTTCTAGAAAAGTAGAGCTATCAGGTTGAGGAAGTCTTTGAACTATCGTTTTACAGCATCAAGGCTCAATTCAAGAAGGAATAAAATGGAACTACGGGTCCCAAAACCTTTCTAGACAAAAATTTAACCATCTTAAAAACATGTTTCCAGAAAAAGACTGGTGCTGTATATTGATTTACTGTTTTCTGTTGTTCCAAGCATAATTTGATAATTTCTTTATTTATCCTGCCCTTGCTTAGAGCAAAGGTCCACTCTTCCGCCAGAACAAGCTCCACAATTTTACAATGTTTTTACAAATTACAAACTGTTTTTTTTTTTTACCACTATATTAGGGATGGACGGGATTGAATTTTTAGTTCGGGACGGGACGGGACGGGATTTTTATTTCCTTCCCGATTTTCGGGACGGGACGGGACGGGATTTTTTTCTGTGCATAAAAAGAAAGTACTGTATTGCAGTTACCAAAAAAGACATACGAAATCAATTTTTACCATTTGTGGCACTGATCTATAAAAACCAAAAAATGGGTAACAATTTACAGGTACCTATAGAAACTTGTGACTCGCGGGTCACGAGGTGATTGTCTGTATGACTCACGGTCATGGCGCGATCGTCGTCATGACTCGCGGTCACGGCGCGATCGTCGGTATGACTTCGCGGTCACGGGGTTATCGTCAGTATGACTCCACGGTCACGGCGCGATCGTCGTCATGACTCGCGGTCAAGGCACGATCGTCGGTATGACTTGCGGTCACGGCGCGATCGTCGGTATGACTCCGCGGTCACGGGGTTATCGTCGGTATGACTCCACGGTCACGGCGCGATCGTCAGCATGACTCGCTGTCACGGGGTTATCGTCGGTATGACTCCACGGTCACGGCGCGATCGTCGTCATGACTCGCGGTCACGACGCGATCTTCGGTATGACTCGCGGTCACGGCGCCATCGTCGGTAGGACTCCGCGGTCACGGCGCGATCGTCGGTAGGACTCCGTGGTCACGGCGTGATCGTCGGTATGACTCGCGGTCACGGCGCGATCGTCGGTAGGACTCCGCGGTCACGGCGCGATCGTCGGTATGACTCGCGGTCACGGCGCGATCGTCGGTATGACTCGCGGTCACGGCGCCATCGTCGGTAGGACTCCGCGGTCACGGCGTGATCGTCGGTAGGACTCCGCGGTCACGGCGCGATCGTCGGTATGACTCGCGGTCACGGCGCGATCGTCGGTATGACTCGCGGTCACGGCGCCATCGTCGGTAGGACTCCGCGGTCACGGCGCGATCGTCGGTAGGACTCCGCGGTCACGGCGCGATCGTCGGTATGACTCGCGGTCACGGCGCGATCGTCGGTATGACTCGTGGTCACGGCGCGATCGTCGGTAGGACTCCGCGGTCACGGCGTGATCGTCGGTAGGACTCCGCGGTCACGGCGCGATCGTCGGTATGACTCGCGGTCACGGCGCGATCGTCGGTATGACTCGCGGTCACGGCGCCATCGTCGGTAGGACTCCGCGGTCACGGCGCGATCGTCGGTAGGACTCCGCGGTCACGGCGCGATCGTCGGTAGGACTCCGCGGTCATGGCGCGATCGTCAGTAGGACTCCGCGGTCACGGCGCGATCGTCGGTAGGACTCCACGGTCACGGCGCGATCGTCAGCATGACTCGCTGTCACGGGGTTATCGTCGGTATGACTCCACGGTCACGGCGCGATCGTCGGTATGACTCGCGGTCACGGCGCGATCGTCGGTATGACTCGCGGTCACAGCGCCATCGTCGGTAGGACTCCGCGGTCACGGCGCGATCGTCGGTAGGACTCCGTGGTCACGGCGTGATCGTCGGTATGACTCGCGGTCACGGCGCGATCGTCCGTAGGACTCCGCGGTCACGGCGCGATCGTCGGTATGACTCGCGGTCACGGCGCGATCGTCGGTATGACTCGCGGTCACGGCGCGGTCGTCGGTAGGACTCCGCGGTCACGGCGTAATCGTCGAAATGACTTCGTCTCCTGCGTTCGCGGACCTATCGCTCGCAATAACGGCGTTATCGGCACTCGCGAAGCGGAAAAATCGCCGACGATCGGACCAAATTCCGTCCCGAAAAATTCCCGAGTCAAATGTAATCCCGTCCCGATAATCGGGAATATTTTTTTCCCGAAAAATTCCCGAAATTTCGGGACCCGTCCATCCCTACACTATATGTAACATACACAACAATAACCTATTGTACTATATTCTTATTTTAAAAAGGTGTACTGTCATCTATCCATTATTTTCTAAATAATACAACACTTGACTAATATATTGTTTCAGTTAATGTTATACCTCACATATTGTTTTGTTCTTAACTAGTATAAATTCAACAATAACATTTTTACCTTGGTTGTAAAACTTTTTTCTGATTCTACATTTTTGATACTATTATCTAGTCCAGTAAGCATAAGATATTAGGGAAGGGAATTGAAGGAATTGTGAATTATATAGAGTTGGTGTCCTTTAACACCTCATTTTACTGTTCTGTTTTATTTTTTCCTCATATTCTAGAAACCAACGACTGCAGGGAATTCTCTTGTAGCTAAATCAGCCATGATTTGGTGAGATTTGAATCTTGGCCATCTAGACAGGAGTTCAGGAGTTCCCCGTTCTAAATACTAGATCAGCCATCTCAGAACTCTTGTTTTGAAGATAAATTTTGAGAGAATTTCTTATTCCTATATGTAAAGTGTCCTCTTGTGTGACAGAGAACATCAACAGCAGTGTCAACTCCAACGTTGTCAGTTCAGCGTCCGAGAGTCTAGCGCGCAGAGCTCAAGTCACCTTCCAAGACCCAGTGTTCCAGCGGATGAAGGGACAGTTCACTGCAGACTTTGACTTCAACGTACCCGGCGCCATGAAGCTGCACAACCTCATACACAAGCTGAAGAAGTGGATCAAGATACTGGAGGCCAAGACCAGGCTGCTGCCCAAGTAAGTTATAAGTTTAGTGTTTAATGCTGCGTGAAAATTGTCCAATGAACATTGCTCAGTCTTAAGTATATTATATAAGTAGTTTCGTCTGTGCTTTTGCAAAGGATATCAACCTAAATTGTGACAGTAATTTTGCCAAAGGTGATTAGGAAGTTCTTGTTTAATGTGCAGTGGTCTGTCTGTTATCTTGAGGTTTTATTTTACAATCCTTATTCTTGTGTGACAGATAGTGTTGTGTTTTTTTCCAATAAATGTTCAACTCTTCTGATGTTACCTAATACTTTGCTGTTGGATTGAAACATTTGCAAAATAGCAAAGCAATTGTGAATTTTACAACATTTTAAATGTGTTAACAAGTGTAATCTAGTAAAACATACAAACATACCCCTCTTTGTGCAGGTCTTTCTTGATCGAGGAGAAATGTCGCTTCCTGAGCAACTTTAGTCTACAGACTGCTGAAGTTGAGCTACCAGGAGAGTTCTTACTGCCCAAAGTAAGTTTTTGGTATCTCGATAAAATGTTCTTTGTAAATGTGTGAAGTAAGTCTCTCTTAATAATGCGTTTATAGACTTAGTGGCCATCTTGATAAGAAACATATTTGTGATTACTTATGTTATGTTGCATTTCCAGCACTCACACTACTTTGTGAGGATATCAAGGTTCATGCCGCGAGTGGAGATTGTACAGAAACACAACACAGCGGCTCGTCGTCTGTTCATCAGAGGACACAACGGCAAGATCTACCCGTACCTGGTGGTGAATGACTCTGGGCTGGGGGATGCTAGGAAGGAGGAGAGAGTGCTGCAGCTGCTAAGGATGCTGAACCACTACTTGGGCAAGCAGAAGGTGAGGAAAACCACAAAAGAGTGGACATTGGTCATTAGTAAAACTACGAATATTGTATGTCTTGTATTGGAGGAGGATCACCAATAGGTCTCCTTGCCTAGAAATGTTTATACTTTCATCTGTTGGCTAAACTGTTGCTAAAACATGTACATCTCTTTTGGACATGACGGTAGTTTACTGTCAAAATTATAAGTACCTATTTAAAATATGTTACTATTGTCAAAAAATAAAAATGTAATAAATTACTTCAAAATTGTAATAATGTATTCCAATTGTACTTAATTTCCTTCATTTATAGTTTCAACTTTCTTAATCCATCACTACAACAGTTAGGTTATGTTTACAAACTGTTACTGTGTACTGGGAATCTGTATCTAATAACTCTGAGAGTCACATTCTAGTGTGGCATTGAGTAATTCATCACAGACAGTTCACTTGATGAACTGGAGCATGTCTCTGAACGTTCCGTTTGAGAATTCTTCTGTTGAAATCACAGTTTTAAAGTACTAAAACGTAAATCCTAATCACCACAGTTCAGGTTTTAAATTCTGTGACAGACTGAAACTTAATTGTGTAGACAGTTTAAGCACTGCCTAAATGCTAGTAAATTAATTATATATCACTATATGAAATCACAGGTAAAGCTAAAGGAATCACAGGTGTGATAAAAGTTTTTAATTGTGTTCCAGGAAACATCTCGCAGATTCCTCCACTTCACAGTTCCAAGAGTGGTCGCTGTGTCATCTCAAATGAGACTGGTGGAAGACAATCCTGCGTCTATATCATTGTTGGACATATACAAGCAAAGCTGTGCTGGTAAATATATTTGTTTGAAAATCATCAATGTTAAGATGTATTCTCGTTTGTCCTATGGGTTGGACTGTGTTATCAAACTGAATGCCACAGTTAAAGAGACGATGCCTCCACTACTCGATTTGTACTCCGATGATAAAAAACTTTGGCATTCAAACACAGCTTGAAATATAGGTAAATCAAAAAACATTATGTATACAAATATTGTGGGAATCTTGTGGAAGCTTACATTCCTTATGACCAATGCACTTGGATCATAATTATTTTCACTTCTATTAAAATTAATTGCTCTTGTCAGGCTTTTCCCTGTGGAGTTAGTAGTGGTAAAAACTTAACAGTAGGACGCCGAGTGAAAGGATTGTTGAGAAACCTATTTTGCAGTTTGGTTAGGACAGGCATTGATTAATGTTGTATCGAATAATTATTTTATCATGCTATTGCAATCTTTTGCAGGTCTAAACATCAAGCATGATGCACCGGTCAGCAAGTATTATGAAAGGTTGGCCACAGTCCAAGCAAGAGGAGCTCAGGCTAGTTATCAGGTAAGTTTTTGTGTAAAATTTACAACACAATAAAATATTTCATATTAGTCTAATTATAAACGGGTAACCTTGATTGTTTCATCCTACTTTTGAGAAGATGTAGACTTTTTAACTTATGGTAACAAGTAATTTATTTAGCAAATTCGTTCAGTTATGTTTAAGTTTAGCTGCTCCTGGAAAAGTACTTTTGTATCAAAAGGATTTTCCTAAATATAATTAAATCAAATGTATTTTACAAATATTAAATTTTTGCTCAGGTGTTGAGAGACATTCTCCGAGACGTACAGAATGTGATGATCCCTCGGACTCTCCTGAGAGACTGGGCTGTGCGGACATTCCCATCCCCTACTGACTACTGGACCTTCCGCAAAATGGTAATGATTCCCACTGTTGTACTTAGCTTTAGAAAGAGATATAAAGACATGAACAAACTCATGTTGAACTGAGAGTCTAATTTATTGTTAGTTGGTGTCAAGGAACGCACGTTGACCAGAAAGGAAAGTCTCGTGGGCATCAAGGACATTTCTCTTAAACACAGACAATGCTTTTGTTAAAAGTTCACTTGTTTAACCAGAAAACAGTAAAGAAAATTGCCTCAACGTAGACAAAACGATAAAACCTTCACAAAATGACTAAGTGTTGTTTCTGTTCAGTAATCACCGTATGTTTTATTTATTTCCAGTTGACGCTGCAGATGGCACTGGCTTGTTTCGCAGAGTATGTGCTCCATCTCACTCGTCTCAACCCAGACATGATGTACATCCATCAGGACTCCGGCCTGCTCAATGTCGCGTACTTTAAGTTTGATGTTGATGACTCAAAAGGTTAGTTTTTTGGTTTGGTTATAGAATTAAAGAGTGTTTTAGGGAACAAGATATACTGAGTGATGTTTAGTATTGGCTTTAACATAGATACATGCTATGTCAGCTATATGTACACAATTCTTCCGAGCGTCATCTTTGAGCGTTGGGTCTTCCCTTTGTTGAACTAGCGTATTCTAACTCTGATTTGACTCGTCCATGTTGGTTACTCTGACTGGTGTTGCAGGAGAGCTAGATGCCAACAGGCCAGTGCCGTTCCGTCTCACGCCCAACCTGCAACAACTGCTGACAGACATCGGTATCTCCGGGCCATTGACAGCCTCCATCATCGCTACAGCTCGCTGTTTCACACACCCCAACTTCAAAGTACAGACCATCCTCAGGGCCATACTGCGAGATGAGATGATTGCCAGTCATAAAAAGGTTAGTCCATGTTTAAATAGTTACTTGTCACACTAATTGTAAATTGTGTAAATCGTCGTGTCGTCTGTCTAGTGTCTACAGTACAGTTCCGCCATTGCTTGCTACACGAACACAGACAAATACTTATTGCGGTCAAGGTTAAGTCGATACCGGCAATGGCGGCAATAGTTGCTCGCATTGAACTAGAGCTACAACCAAAGGTAGCACTGAACTGAATCCGAGAATTGAGATACGTTGGCCTCCATATGTACTAGGGGAGTAGTAGGCCTACTTTGGAACTAGGGGATTGTGGTTGTCGTGCCGTGCTACCTCCATTTGGATGTTTTCAGTCTACAACTATTTCGTTTTGTAAAGAGCAGTTCCCTGATTCGGTTTACTTATCAGACTTGGATACGATAATTTAAATAAACAACAAAACATTGACCATGGCAACTTCCTTAAAATCTAAGTTTGTATATGGAATCGGTATCAAGAATCGTGAGTGATATTTCAGAACTGGTATCGAATCGAGAAATTATGTTATAAGCCTAGGCTGATAACGACATATCCCTATTAAAAATTTTATTAATATTCGGCTAGGACATAATTCAAGCCATGGCCTTGAGTTTTCATACCAAGTTTGGCTTTGTTCAAGCTATGCGTCGATCCACACTGCTGCTACACATTATTATAGAGCTGGCGGCGAGTCGGCGTATTCTGTCAGCAGACCCGAGATTCGATTCTTGAATCTCGTTAATCGAATCTCAAATCCGAATCTTTTCTTAGGATTCGGTGGATTTGAGATTTGGATTCGACGCACCTAGGTGTTTTATCTTATGTGGAATGTTCAAAGTATTTAGTTACAGTAAAACCTCATTAATACGGACTTTGTAAATTTTTTAATCTTTTAACAGAGCAGTTTCAAAAATTTTCATACAGGTAAGTCTAGAATGAACACTTTAATGTACACATTATTTTAGGTATCGTTTAATTGCTTAACTAAACAATTGCACAATATTCACAGGCTACATAGAATACCAGACTGAACTCTTTAAAATACATGTTGTCACAATGTAATAACATTGCCATTGTCATGGCTGTAAGCCTTGGACATAACCGAGGAATCTTTAGCCTCCAATTACCTCAATCAATTGAGATCTAGTTAAACAAGATTTGTACGTTTATGACCACAGAAGCAAGAGGAGGAGGCTGCCAGTGTTACCACCGCGCCCACCGATGTCCCAGGGGAGCTCATCATCACTATGGTGACGAGAGCTGTGTCAGCCATCACACAGAGGCTCAACAGTCTTGCCAACTTTGACGGCACCGACAGCAAGGTGAGCATTGATATCTTTGTCTCTTTTTTTCCAGGTGAAAGGAAAAAGTACCTAGTGCTCGGTAAGCTTAAATTCATTTTTTTATTTATTATTATTACCAATGAAGATGGAACTGCAACTGAATGTAATTATAATCTAATGTTACTGAAGGATGTGCGCTGAATGGAATGAGATCCTCTCTGTAGCTTTGTTACTGACTAAGGTCATCTGTTGTTTTAACCAGGATAATTTCAGGGCTGTGCGAATCCAGAAATTTTGGTTCGAATCCGAATCCGAATCATAGCTGTACAGATTTTATCGAATCCGGATCGAATCCGAATATTTTAATTACTCCCGAGTCGAATCTGGGTCGAATCCGAATCTCAAATTTACAGCTATTATCGAACCCGGATCGAATCCGAATCTGAAATTTAAAGCTGTTATCGAATCCGAATATTTAAACCTGTTCAGAGTCGAATCCGAATCCGAGGAAAGTCAGCAGTACCAATTTTCACATTTTTAGACCACATTTTCTGGGGCTGAAATAACTTAGTGAATTACTTAAAAAAATTCTTGAAATGGGCCAAATAAAAAAGTTATAAAATTTAGGCCTACCTATTTGAAGTTTTGAAACTAAAAAATTGGGCATAGTTAGGCCTACCACCTAGGCCTAAGTTACTCACTAAAAGTGATGGACTACCAATTTGTGTATTCTAAAACATAGGCCCAGCCTATTATACACCTCGGTGTTAATCCTCCACACAAGCCTATGTCTGCATTACTATTACAAGTAACAACTCACACTGTGAGGTTAAGTTTACTGATAGCCAAGATAGGGTTCAAATGCGACCTAGACTAATGTGCCTAAAGCCTAACACCAAGTTGGTCAGGTTCCTAACATGAACCAGTCAACAGCAAATCGGAGTGCACAAGTAGTTTTTTAGTGTCTAAAAAATTATATTCAATCAGAAACTAGTAAATTTGAATATCGAACCCCAACTCGGATCTATTTCCAAGAAATTCGAATATCGAATCCGAACCCGGATCTCTTACCAGTAAATTCGAATATCGATTCCGAATCCGAATCCAGTTAGAAACAGTAGATTCGTTCTCGAATCCGAATCGAATCTCTAAAAAGATTCGGATTTGATTCGTTTTTTGAACTATTCGCACAGCCCTGGATAATTTATTAAAAGCCCATTGATCAAGGACAGCTTGTCCAGTTTTGAACCATCATTAAGGTACTGAATTGTGTCAGAATTTAACCAGCCGTCTTTTAATTATCAGGCTAGCACCATTAACCTACCTCTCAGCTACCCAGTTATCATCATACCATCATATCCTTCCTTACACCTCCTTTGGATGTCCAAATTTCTGGTGTAGAGCTTTCGGAAGAAAAATTTATTTGGTCCCCTTGAAAAATGGTTGTCGATGTTTACCTTTCCTGCTTTATTTACTTTTACTTTATATTTTGTTCACATTTTGATTAAGTTAGTATATTCTGTTTCACAACTGATTGAATTTAAATAAATCAAGGGAGTTTCATAAAACTAACATTATAATTGAATCTCCTTGAATTGGTGGGTGTGCAACAGTTTTCTAAATTAGATTTAACAAAAAAACTGTATGACTGGTATCAGAATCAAAGAAGGGATGAGTAATTAAATGGAAAGTCCTCGTTGCAGATTTTTATACATACAAATTGGGACATGAAAAACTTTGAGAACGGAAATTCTTCAGCTAAGCGTTCATATTTTATTATGATTTCTAACCTGAGTTTAAATGTTTGCAGGTTAACACTCTAGTGGTGGCAGCCAAAAGTAGTGACAACCTGTGCAGGATGGATCCTGCCTGGCATCCTTGGCTGTAACTCCATCACTCCCTAGCTCTTAAGTTGTAACAGTATTCTTTTGTTTTAATTTTAATATGTGATAAGTCTTTTGTACAAACTTCTTCCATGTTTCATACTTATGTAAATTTGTCAAAAAAAATTTTACTCCTCTTACGTGTGGAGCATTGGCTATATGTACATAACTCCATTCCTGAATGTGATTTTTAGAAAATTAGAAACTTTTCTAAAAAATAATGTGTTTTTGTGACGGATACCCTTTTCCCTCTTTTTTATTGTAACTGTTTAGAGCAAAAAGTGTTTCAGTTCAACAACCATAAAAATTGATCTCCAAAATGAAAAAACCCACAAAAACTAAAAAAAAAAAACTGAAAAATACCAACGGCACTGATAAACACAAAACATGAATGTTAAAACATAAACACAAAACTAATTTGTAAATACAGCAGAACCTCTTTAATCCGAGCCCCCGTAATCCGAACGTCCACTAATCCGAACGCCTCATTGCTGTACTCTATACACACTACAGTAGTTCTTTATTGTATACTGTATTCAATGTACAGTACAGTTTACTCACTATTTTTACTACTGTATTAAATAAACACTGTATTTTACTTTATAAAGCATTTTTTCACTTTTCCCGTACCAATTACAATCAATTTTAGCCAGGTTTTAGCTAATGTTATGTAAAAACATAATATGGTCTGTAATCCGAACTATTCAATAGTCCGAACTACCCCCGGTCCCAATTAGTTCGGATTAAAGAGGTTCTACTGTATTGTCTTCTACACAAATCTGATTAATGAAAAGTTACTAAAACAAAAAAAATAAAATCATACAATTTACAACTTATTTAATTATAGCATACTTGTTAGGAAAATTCAAATGGTAGGTTTAAAATTAACAAACCAATTTTACTCCACTTACGTGTGGAGCATTTACTATATGTACATAACTCCATTCCTGAATGTGATTTTTAGAAAATTAGAAACTTTTCTAAAAAATAATGTGTTTTTGTGACAGATACCCTTTTCCCTCTTTTTTATTGTAACTGTTTCTAGCAAAAAGTGTTTCAGTTCAACAACCATAAAAATCGTTCCCCAACCTGAAAAAAACCACAAAAACCAAAAAAATGAAAAATACCAACGGCATTGATAAACACAAACACACATGAATGTTAAAACATAAACACAAAACAAATTTGTAACTATTGTCTTCTCTACATAAAACTGATTAATGAAAAGTTACTAAAACTACAATTTAGTTAATTATAGCATACTTGTTAGGAAAATGCAAATGGTAGGTTTAAAATTAACAAACCAGTAACACACTCCTTATCAAATTTGTCATTTATTACAAACATCCTTTGTTCTATAATACAATATTTAAATATACTGCTAAATGTTAAATCACTGTTTTTACATTTCATACATATTACATAGTAATAATTATTGCACCATAAAAGTTAGCTGAGTCTTTATAAATAAAATGGCTGCCCCTAGCTTGAATGCATTACTATTTCCTTTATTAGTTGCTTAGCTCAAATTGAAATAAATAATCAGGAATAGATAAAAAAAATCACTTCTGGAGCAAAAAAGGGAATGCAGGAGTTCTAAGATTATCTCTTATTTGAAGCTTGTCATTATTATAATAATAAACAAATTTTATATAAAATTTCTGTTTTAACTTTTTTCCAGGAATGACATGATCTTATCTTACCATAAATTGAAATACTGTTGGATATGAAAGAATAGTGAAATACATATTATTTATTATCTTAAAAATTAAACTTACTCTTTATATTGGGGATCTGATTTGGATCTTACTAAGTTGTCTACTTGATACAAAGTTTCGTGATAAATACAATATCATACACATTTGCTTGATAGTTATATACATTGTAGTTAGAGGTAGATTTTAGGAATAATAAATATCAATTTGTAGATTAGCTGCATTTATACAAAAGAACCAGTTTCTAGTTTTATTTGATAACATAGCTATACAATATTTCCCTGTAATTGTTTCTTGGATATAACCTAAAGCAACTCAAAATAACTTAGACTAAACAAATTTATGTTTCTAATATAATATATTAAAATGCAGGTGATTTAATCTATATTCCCAAAATTTGAATGACTCGTAGATTGTTTTTGTTCATCTTAAATAATTATTATTGTACTTTCTTAACAGAAGTTTAGAACAAATTTCAAATTGTATATACAGACAATGTTTTAGTTTAGGCAGAGGACGGCCATGTGCATTTAAACCTATTCACTTAGGACTTAGGACATACTTACAAAATATCATTGTCTAAACATATCAACAAGTTTTATCTACACACTTTTCTAAATTATCACAACACAATGTCAGGGCTCTCAAGTGGATCAGGACTGCTGCTACTCTAAGAAAAATCAATACAAAACATGATTAATCTCATGCACTTTCAAAAGCATAAACTGTGTAACCAACTATGAACCATATTACTTAATAATAGGTTACTCTGAAAGGGACAATATTATGTTAATGCTATTAAATAGCTTGCTAGTGTTATGGAATACATTTTTTATTAAACATATTTTAACCAATAAACATGTTGAGTTTTAAAAACAATTTTGATTAAATTCAGTATAAGTTGTTTCTATAAAGTATAAATATAAATCCAACTCTTAAGTACAACTAATGAGTGTGTAGCAAAATTAGTTCCTGAATTTAAAAAAAAGGTTCAAGATCAAAAATCTGTTTTTTCAGTTAACATGGCCACTCTTATTTCCTATTCAAGACATTTTGATATTATATACAGGGTAATTTCAGTATTTGGGAATTCCTCTTTTAAAATAACAGAAGTTTATTCCTAAAGGCTAAACCTGGTTAGGAAATTATGTATCATAATTTTTAACAGTCTTTTTTAATGTATATTAGTGTTTCGTTACCCCGAGTTAGACAAAAGTTTGAGCGTCACAATAGTGACTTCTTTTCTGACATTTACTTGGTTTAAGACTGACAAGGGAAGTTCTTTGTATTTAATTAAGTTAATACTTATTACCAATTTCACCAGCTGTGCTAAGACCAAAAGACATGTTTTGTGACTAATAAAGAGTTTAAAGTCAAAGCAAAAGTGAAATAAATACTAATAAAAAATACTCAAACTTATAAATTTATTAAATAGTCACCATTTTTTAACTAATCTAAATGGAACTTATATTTTGTTAAATGTTGTACGGACTCAAAAAACCTTGAAATATTCATAAAACAATCCACCCCCAAGACCAAGACATCTATCACTTACCAGTGGAGTGAGTCGGTCACAGGAGAGGAAGATCGCAAGAGTCCGTCGGCAGACTGTAGTTGAGTAGCCTAAGGTTGACAGGACTCTTGTCCAGGACCAATCTCTGCAGACAACCGTTGAAGTTGAGGTAGTAGGAGGACGGCAGACCAGGGGGTAGTGTAGGCGCTCCTCCTGGAAAATTCATGGATCAGTTGAAGACAATGTAACAATCTGATTATGTTGATGTAAACGGCATTGTGAAGTGAAATTTGCTGATATCTGTTTAATCTTATTTTTTTAATTGTGTGTTTTAACGTCATTGGTATTAGGTGTTTTGTAAGATACCAGTCCAAACCCTGGTCTATGCGCACGATAAGCTGTTTCAGCTATGATGCAACCATGGTCTAAGTATAAACCTGGCCCTCGTAAAAAAACCCCTGGTCTAGTTATTATCCTATGTCGACCTTATGTTAGATTGCATCATAAGCCAAATGGCATTTGGGTCTAGAATCTATTTCACTTGGCATTGAACCTGAAACCTTCAGATGTGAAGGCAAACACTCTATATCCACTCTTCAACACAGCTATTAAATGGTGTTGAAAACAGTGGATTCTGTCATCAATCTTGGAGCCTGACTATGATTTTAAAACCTCAAATATATACAGCAGGAGGACCTTTCTTGTTCATAATCCTGTATAACAAGAAATCATTTCAAAATATGAAACTAAATTATCAGTAGGTTTATTCAACTTTTTGATCCTTAATACAGCGAAACTCTGATAATTTGGCACATTCAAAAATACTGTATCAATAAATAATCCATCTGCAATCCATAGAGATTTGAGTAATCAGCTGTAGATATACTAAAACATGTTAATAGAACAAAGGCCTTTACTTGTACAAACAACTATCACATTATTAACACATTATTCAGTGCCACTTACCTATCCACAACTGTGTGTTGGTATTAACTAAAGTTTTTCCATATTCCGCTTGTTCCTTGTCAGGAACTTCGTTGTCAACTTGAATCTGACCTCCGCGTTTCCATCTTTCGATCACCAGCGTATGCCACTCACCGTCGTTCACTTGGATCTAGAATCAAAATTTATGAATGGACAAATTTGTTAAGCTGGTGAAAGAATTAAATTATCAAAGAGCATATCATAGAGCCTTTTAATTGGACCTGCAGTTCGCAAATGCAATTTAATTCTGACAACTTCGCCCGCTGCTGTCCATCACAAACTGATACGAGCCTCTCCCACCAAACTTTGCCTGAGACAGTTGAATATCTTATGACTTCCTACACCAGACCTGACTAAGTCAAGATCCACGTTCTCAATCTTGCTATTCCTGGCAGGGAAGGGAACAACCTAGATCATTCTAGGAAACTCTCAGAAATAACCACAGTAATTTTATTTAAATCTGTTTAGTTCTGAATTAAAGTAACAAATATTTTCCTGTTTTAACAAGAACTTGCTGTATGCATGTAAACATATTCACCTTTGATCGGATATTGAGCAGTGGTATGTGCCTGCCCAGCTTAAGACTAAGTTCGGCGTATCCGTCAGTTATAGCTACAGCTACGAAGTTGCCTTGAGGGTTCTTGCCTCGCTTCAACCACAGCAGTAAACCATTGGAATCCACAGTGCGGAGGGAAACTTCAAAATGATTCCTTCTCTTGTTTCGATACCTGAAACAAATAGTTGATGATCAAACCTGTGATCTATTCTAAAATAAAATAAAATAATTTTAAAATGTATTGGTTAAGCTTTAAAGGGTTTGTTGTCTGTTGTGTATTACTAGGGTATTCAAAGAATATCCTTACTTGAAAAGTACGTTAACTGTTATATGTATAAGGTTAATAGTTAATATGTTTAAGTCATAGTAGCATATCTTATCTTGCCAATGGTTGCTGCCACAATTAGACAATTCTGCATTAGATCATAGCATTGACTTATCAGCTTACATACAATGATGTAAATATTGTTTAGTTAAGTTGTTATTTTATAGTTTATAAGACACTCTGTATTTTTTATGTATATAAAATTGACTTAGCCAATGCATTAATGTAAATCTGGCCAAATAAATTACTTATGACTTATGACTTACAATACTTATGATACGGTTATGACACACATACACTTCTACCCATACACATTTAGCTGTGTTTTCGAGTTTCAAATATTTTTTGTTTTTTAAATTTTATATACATTTACTTCAATATAGTTATAAACTACAAATTGAAATTACTATAAACTCAAAATATTTCAATCCTTTTATATTCAAGTTCAACCAATTTAGCTGTGAAATGATAAATCAATTTATTTTGAGTAAAAATTTGTGGTCAATGGGATGGAGTATTACGGTATTACTTTTGTTTAAATTACTATTAAGATACACTATTAAAACTGTTTTAAAAAGGCCAAAAGCTGGTTCTTAACAGTAGGAAAAAAATAGCCAATTGTTCCTAATTAAGGTTATTGCAATATAAATCTGTAATGAATATACATGCAAAATATTTCTGCTACTGGGAAGAAGTAATAATTATGGCAATGAATAAAAAAAACCTCAACTAACTAATTGACTGACAAATTACTATTTTCCACACTTAACTAATAAACTTACTCGTCAAAAAACACAAATTCATCTTCATCGTACATATCCTCTGTATCGTCCCCTGTTTCTCCATAATCTTCTTCAGTCTCTTCCCAATAGTCCTCCACCAGATTAGTAAAGTTAAAAGGCTCAGACATGTTAAAACTGATAGGGAAAAAGGTTAGTTGCTAAATCTATTAGTACTGTAAACAGTTAGTGACCTAGAGATGAGAAAATACATTCCCTGCAACACATTGGTGGAAAAAGAGATTTAGCAAAACACTAAAATGTAGCTGTGTTAATTGAAGGAAAGGTTTGATAGTTAAGTTTCTTTAAAAAGGCACAGAGTTAGCGATTTATTTCAATATTCATTTGCAAAATTTTGCTTGTTTCAGGTTGAGAAATCTAAATCGTTTACTTTGCAGTTCCGTTTGGTAGATTACAGGACATACTTAATTCTTTTATCTATATGCTTCTACAGAGCTTCTCATCCCACTCCAATGCGTGGAAAGCACAAGCGTTTTAAAAACTGAAACCAAGCTACAGAATATAAATAGTACAAAATGAACATTGTTTTATGTATAGTCTATAGTTCATAGGCTTTTTGGTACACAGTATAAGAATTGCAAAGCCATTTTGTGAACTAAAAGTACAAATTCTATTCAGAATTTGGGAAAACTGATTACACTTAAATTTATTATTTCTGAAAGTGAATGAAGATTTTTGAATGGTTTAAATCACTAGCTCATCAACTTTGTTACAATATTTTGACATGCATTGTTTATTTGAAATAGTTTACCTTTTGCTCTGAGAAGAGGTGAAGTGTTCCAAGTATGTGTCTCCGTTGAGCCGTATAGGTTTCTCGTTTTCAACAGCTGGAAATAACCACTTGCATTGATAAATACACTTCAGTAAAAATATTATAGAAAAATAAAAATGATAACTGATGGACAAGTTTGTAAACTATGAATTCTAGCATCTGCAATAGAAAAAAAGAAACAAAAAACAAACATTAGATTCAAAGTTTGACTGACTGGATAGACTAGTTGTTATAGTGTTGCTGATTCATTCCCTAGTGGGATAAATGCTGAAACTAGTTGCCATTTTTATTTTTAGTTGTGTTATCAGTCGTAACATTAACGTTAGGAAATGGTGTGGAAAATTATCAAAGAAATCCAAACAGTAGTTAACCAATGTTTTCACCATTTAAGATGCAGCCGGCTGTTTCTGAAACATTATTTTGATAACTGAAAAAGTGAAAAGTAAGGTTTTGTAGGCTAAGCTATCTTAATCAAAGAGTGTAATGATCATCAGTACCTGATAAACTTTATGGATTACAACATGTCTACAGTTAAGATCTAAACTTGATTTTGAGTACTCACACTGTTGGCATTGTTCACCATAGAAGCCGTCTGTGCATTTGCAGGTGAAGGTATTGAGGTTCGGCACACACACTCCATTGTTGAGACAAGGGTTGGTGGAGAGGGGACAGGGGGGTCCTTGGTACCTCCCCACCTTGTACCCCTGGAGCCCCAGCGCCGTCCACGACTGACCATTCACTAGCAGCTTTTGGATGGCACCAACCAAACCAAAAGTAACTCCAGAATCCCGACTGGTTTCAGTGAAGTTGCTGCAATAACATATTTACTACGGTAATCTACTGGTGGAAGAAATTATGCTTGTCAAGCAATTAAGTATATAGCAAACTAGACTAGGTTGATAGTTGAATATTGTAACACTAGTGCAAATGATAATATAAAATCTAGCACAAAATATATAATTAAATCACAGCTACGATTATCAAATACAGTATCACAGTGATAGTAACTTGAGTCGACAAGCCAGACGAAAGCAATCTTGCTTATTCAAGACCAGTCTGCACTTTATTCTCAGAGCAGTCCCCGCTGGCTGAACCATAACTTATGGCATGTAACGTTAGGTACTTCTCACTCTCTTTGGATCAATGCTGCTCAGATTAGCTGTCTATAATGACAGCAATTTAAAAGTTTGAAAGAAAGTTAACTGAAACCTAACTCATGATGGGTCCAACAAAATAGTACATTAACTTTTTCAAACATCATTTGTACTAAATGATGGTTCCATGAAAGAATCAGCCTTATGTGGTGAGTCGGTGGCTCTCAGTCGGTAGCGTCGCGGACTTCGGGCCCAAGGCAGTAGTGTCGTGGGTTCGGATCCTGGTCACTGCCACTAACTTTTATCAGTATAGTTCACCTTTGTACTGTACCGGCTCACCCCTTGCTTTGCTGGATACGTTCCACGCACAGATCTGTAGTCTATGTGGACGGGCAAATGCAAGGTTAAAAGAGGCCGCCAACCTCTTTAAAAAAAAAAAATAAAATAAAATGTCAACAACAACTACTACTAGCTGACCATGAAAAACAACTGTCTAAAAATGAAAAGTAAGTGTAAGCAAAATACTTACGGAACACTGCCAATATAGAGGGGCAGCTCTAGATTCAGCTCATTCAGTGGAGCGCCTGACATTCCATGAACCACGGAGCCGTTATCTAGCTGTAACACTCCATCTTTGTCTAGTCTGCTGGCTTGCACAATGTGCCACACTCCTAGTTGGACCTTCTCCGGCGTTCTGTCACAAAAGAAGAAAAGAGTCAATCATGTGACTTGCATATGAACACATTTAGGAACTATACATTTACATTTATTTGTGTTGAAGGAGAAAACACATTAACATTGCTGAGTGACTCATAGAAGCATTATAGAAGTCCACCTGTAAGCTATGGGTAGATCTTTTGGAAATGGTTTCGCAACTGGATTTTGTCTTAGAAGAACTATAAAAGTGTATATAAGCGAGTGGCTGGTTACAGTGCTCTACAAAATCAAAAGGTACCGTATCTGACTTGATCCTGAGAAAAATCAGTAGTTGGTTTTATGTTAGTTTGAAACTTAACCTGCCTCTCCTGAGATATGCCATTGACTATAAAAAGACTTTAAACTATTCTGTGGATAGTCAATGGATATGACGGATCCAGCAAGAGATTGCTAAAATAAAAGAATTACTGTACCCGAGTAGGCCTACTGATCATTTAAAACTGAAATTAGTTTGAGCTCTTAGTGGGTTTTAAATAATAATTTTTCCCCTATGCTAATGATATTTTAAGAAAGAACCACTAACACTTTCATGGGAAGCCGTCAAGAGCTCTTAATTTACTGTTGATATGTGAAGAATTTAAATCACATCACTCGCACCAAGGTTGTCAGACACTATCCAGACTTTTACAAGAATTATTTAAGTAAACTTACGTTAAGTTAGCAACTCCACTGCCTAGGTTGAACTTAAACTGTACATGTCTATTGATGATGTTCAGAGCTATGAAATCTCCACGTCCCGTGGTCAGTTGACCGTTGTACAGCAGCACTCCATTTTCTGCTTTGCTCATGAACCAAACTTCAATCGCAAACGCTCTTCCAACGTTTTCAAGTTTTCTGGCCTCCAAGTAAGATTCCCCGTTGAACTCTGGTATTGCCAACTCGTTTTGGGCTGAAATACATAAAAATGATAGCACTGCATGGATTTGTTATCCTCACTAGAAGAAGATAATTTTAGTATGACTGATATAGAGTGTATTTTGGTCACTGAGCTAGAACTATAACTGTAGGTAGCACTGACACAGCATTATTTTTTTTATAGGTTTATAAACTTGACATTAAAAGAAGCAGAAAGAATCTAATAAGTGCACTGGCACTCTTAAGTGACTGGATGTGAATCACACATAAAAACAGCCTTGAGAATTTACATTAGGTTGAGAAGTCTACATGACTATTTGATAGTAAGTACCTATTTATTAACAAATTACAAACAAATTCAAAGCATCTTATCTTAATTATATTTATGTTTGGTTGTGTAATTTTTAATTTTCACTACACTGACCTTGGTGGCATTCGTCCCCAGGCAGACATTTGCAGGTGAAGCCTCCTTGCTGCAGAGGCTCACAGGACGTGCCAAGGACACAAGGATTCACCACGCAAGGATCAATCCTGATCTCACACAGTGATCCTGCAAACAAGAACCGTACAGTTGCAGTGGTATGTTTACATCATTCTAAATCCCAAGTTGATTACACTGTCAGTTTTTGTTTAAAGGTTTATCACCATTATAAACATAAGTTTGACAGCAGAGCCGTCCCTAGTGTTAGCGGCGCCCGGAGCAAACGTAGTCGTGGCGCCCCCTCCCCCCCAGTAATAGTCGCATTCGCATATTTTTAATACTATGTTAATACAAATAGTCGCGGCACGGCGCCTCCTCAGCCGCGGCACCCGGGCCAGCATGCCCCGGTTGCCCTCCCCTTTGGACGGCCCTGTTTGACAGGTGTTTTGCTGATAGAGAAGGCAACAATGAATCATAAACGTAAAACTATATGTTGGTTAAGAGTTTGACACACAAAAATATATTCTTAAAAACATATAAATTAGGAAAAGATACTCATCTTCATCTCCATTTTTTTAATTATTCTTAAAAAACTTTTTTATTGTTATATATTATTTAGATGAGTTCTAATTGTTGCTTGGGGTTGGACTCGGTAAACATCCAAAATTACTGTATTTAAACTTACTACAAATATTTTATTCTAATACTAGTTATTTGGTTCTAACATATAACAACAATTGTATAAACTGACCTGTGTAGTGTGGGGAACAGGCGCAAGTGAAGTTACTTTCACTGGTGAAAATGCAAGTAGCTGTGTTCAGACAAGGCAGACTAGCGCAAGGGTTTGTCCCACATTCTCTAATGTTGTGTACAGACTCCACCATCCAATCTCTACCATCCTCCAGCTCCACCACCTTGCGACCGACCTTCAGACGACGGATACAACCTGAGAAGCCCATGCTGGTCCCGATGTTCTCAGACACCCTGTAATATTAGTCATTGAAGTACATATTGTCCTCAAATAATGTTAAATTCAGGAGTGAAACATTCCTAAAAGAGTGTTCACAAAAAACTTATTTTGAAATAATTTGGTTTTCTGTGTTCACTAAAGCGGAGTAGTTCAAAACTGTGCTTCCAGATTGCAGCACATGCTAACAGGAAGGAGTAAATATTGGTATTTAGGAGTAAATGGTTGTATGCTAAGGATTGGTTATGGTTATATTTTTATAGATCGATATATTGGCCGTTGGGAAACGGTATAGAATTCCAGCAAATCAAAAATTACAACATTAGTCGACATAACATGCAACACTACAAACTTTGCACATCAACCACAGCAAAAACCTATCTTACAAAGGCAACCTGATATATTTCAATTCTCAGACCACTTACAAGGAACCCATCAAGACAGTACTGACAAGATGACTTCTGGAAAGAACATACTTTAAAGGGAGGGAATTTCTCATGGACCAACAATCTACGATTCCAACACAAACTGCGTCCCATTCTTCTGTAGTATTATCAAAGTCTATTATCTGTCTTACTCACTTTTTGATGGAAGTGGGCACATATCCAACAAAGGCGTCCTCTAGGAGATCCAGTGCCCGAAGAGTGCCTTGTGATTGTCCAGCTACAGCCTCACTATTGTCCACTTGCAGTATCCCGTCACGTTGGTAGCGCTTGGCGATCACTCGGTGGTATTTGTGCAGCTGTACTCGCTCCAGTGACGTCAACACCACCGGCCCACTGCCCAGGTTGTAGCGGAACTCTATAAACCTGTGACAAGTGGCAAGTCCAATGTAGCGCAGAATAATTTGCCTGGGAATAAATGCTTAGTACCTAATTGATCAAACTATAATTAATGTAAAATTTGATTTTTTATATTCAAAATGTCAATCATAGATTTTGAAATATCTTTAGAAAGCCAAACATGTCAAAGTCAAATAATCTAACATTTAAAAAATGTATTAAAAATAATAGTTGGAATTTGATATTTGTTTTATATACAAATAAAAATGTTATACATTTTCAAAATAAAATTTTGTTGTGTAAATCGTTAAGTTCAGCAATAATTTGTCAGGCACTTGTTACCTAAAATGTAAACCTATCTAAATGTTTGGTTACCCGTTAACAATTGCTAGGGAGACGAAATCTCCGGTTCCATCAGCATGCTGTTGATTGTAGAACAAGATCCCGTCATTGGAGTACGTTTTAAACTCAATCTCAATACTGAGTTTGTGGTAGGCTTTGAGTTTTTTTAGTCTTGCATACGATTTTCCGCCAAAGGCTGCCACCTCTATACCTGAAACAGAAATTTTAATGGTTAATTGTATTTCTCTTGTAAGTCTTCCTCAGCTAATAATTGCCAGAGATTATTCCAATTAAAAAAAAAATTGTACTTTGTACTTGTGTTATTTTTTAGATAAAAGAGAAAAGAAAAACATGGTTTTATTACGTTAAAAAAGTGTTTTTTTTTACTTACTTCTTGGTATGAGAACATCTGTGCACATAAGTCCTCCGAAATACTTGGTGCAGTGACATAGAAACGCTCCAGCATCCAAGTCCTCACATGTACCTCCATTGGCACAGGGGTTGGAGTCACAGGCAAACACCTTGGGGAGTGGGTGGTTTGGTTTGTTTTCTGAAAAGCAATATGAATCAAAAACATTTTAGTGATCATTAGTCTATAACTGATCATGCTGATAGAACAGGTAACAGTTATAGTATATATTTCACTACTATAGTCCTGAAAGCAACCCATTTGGGGACCACAAAATCCTAGATACTACGGGAAATCTCATAAATACATTTTGATGTTTTAAACCGCTACGCAAAGACTGTTCAAAAACACAACAGTCAACAGATTTACAAGAATTTTTTTGTTTAAAATCTGTTACAAACGGTTTTCCATACTATAGAGAATACTAATGCACACTTGTAATTCTTTTGAAAACTTTAATATGTTTTGGGTGATGTATTCTTTTTCAGTTTCATTAGTTCACTCAGTTTATACTCTATGTATAAAATACAACATGATGAGTTTGAAGTTAAACATCATCATCATCATCTTTATTTCAAACATGGCTTATGTTTCATGGTGGTATGTGGCATTCTGAATTTTAGGAAAATCAATCCTATAATTATTTGAATTTGCAAACAGTCAATAGTTATGAAACAAGTTTGCTCCTTTTACTCATTTTAAATTTAAAATGATTGATAACGATTCTCGAAAAACGTTTTACCTATGCAATGTTGTCTGTCCAGCGACTGTGTGTGATTGGTTCCACAAATGCAAGCTCCACCTATACACACACTGTGGTTGATGGTACAGTCACTATCAGTAGAGCACAGGTCCCCTAGCAGGGCGGTGAACACCTGAACTGTAGCCGGGGTCGCCTGACTACCGGAAAGTTGGAACACACCTGCCAAAACAGAACACTTCAGTCAGGTGTATGATTGACTTTTTGGATACTGTTAGACTTCCATTTGCTGTTTTATGTTTGTTTTACAAGTGTGCTTGTTGACCAATGCTTTATTATTAAGGGTGGATATTAGAATATGTGTTCTGCTCTTTGTTGTACCTAATATAAGAGGATACGTTTGCAAAATATAGTTGTTAAGTTGGTCAAATAACAAGAAACAAACAGCCAAATAAACATCCTTAAAATAAACCAGAAAAAACATATATAGCCTATAGTTTCAAATTATCTTCCAGAGGTCCATAAGGATGACGTACATCTAAAGTAAGCATTCGCATTATCTATGTACTTTATAAATAAAATTGTAATAAATCAATATTTGTCTGTTTTTGGATCAGCGATTTGTCTCATTTAATATCTAAAGACTTTTGTCCACCCATACAGTCTACAAGTAAAGAAACAATTTTCAAAATTTTCATTTTGGGACATTTAGAATGCTAAAAATATAAACATGCAAAAGTGGAATCAGGAACAAATAAACATTCAATATGTCACTTTTACATATATAAAAAAAATTATGACAAGTCTAAATAAAATTAATTCCATACATAAAGTAGACCAACAATACTAATATGCAAAGAGGATGCAAAAAAGGTATGAAAATTGTGAATGGAAAAACAGTATTCTACAGTATTATTACCAAACAACAAAATAATACATCAATAATATGAGATTTAGTCAAACAAGTTGGTTCTGATGATGCTAAGCCAAACCCTTACTTGGAACCACAAAAAAAAAAAAATATATATAAAAAATAAACAGTACAGTGGTCTTAGTGGTGACTTAAGAATATGTGAGTTTGTGTTGGAGGCAGTTTGATCTACCTAAACAAATCCTGATTCAACATCTGATTCAAACAAATCCAAACTAAATTTAGTTAACTCTGTTACCTAGTAAAATTTTTAGTTATATTATAAGTTTATTATTTAAAAATTGTCTGAATCACTAAAAAAGCGAACACAAGGTTTATTTTACCTGTGCTTCAGTCCAACAACCCTGTGTTGTTGCAGTGGTGGCAATTGTACTCAAGGATTTATCGTTTAAAAAACAAACTCGGTCCCTCCAGAGTTGGGGTCCTCATTACCCTAGTGGAAGAGATCAATATATATCAATACAAAAATTGTATATTGATACATATTGATACGTATGTGTATTTGGGCCAATACACATCAATACACATCAATACATATCAATACAAGTAAATAGGAGAGTCCTTAGCTTTTTTGAAAATAATTTGTAGCTTGTTAAAAAACCATTTTTAATTTGTTTCAAAACATTATATAATATCAACTATGCACTAAAAATAAAATAAAAATTAAAAAGTAAAAAAATTCTTGGCAAAAAGTTCAGAGGGATCCCGAGGTTTGAACCGGGGACTCCAGCATGGAAGCCGATTGTCTTAGCCATTACACCACGGACGCTTCATGTTGGACTGAGTAATGATAGCCATTTTGAATGCGAGAAGCTGTGTTAGGCCTCATAATTTGAAAAAGATTTTCAACGGCATTTGTGTCATTTTCAAGCATGTACCTATATGCTTTAACATGTTTCAAAACTGTTTTATTACCAGTTCAAACTGTTTTCTTGCTACTTGGGTGATATGAATAGTGTCAATACAATTTATTTTTATTGATTTCTAGAAATAAGGAATTCAATAATGAATTTGTGAGGCATTTTTATCCCTAACGATAACCCAATAAGCAAAAAAATTGTTTAAAGTTGTCGAAAGCTGTATTACAATAATTGTTGTATAACAATTTTAAAACATTTTGATTTAAACTTCATATTACAACAATTTTGATATAAGATTGAAACAATTTTAAAATTGTTTAACAATAAGTTTTTTGGAGTTGAAAAAAATAAGTTTCAATACAAGCTGTAACTGTTTTTCAACAATTTTAAAATTGTTTTACAACCACTTTTTTGAAATTTAAGAAAATCAGTTTTAATACAAGTTGTAAACTGTTTTACAACAATTTTAATGTTTAGCAATCAGTTTTTGGCAGTTTAAAAAATAATTTTTAATACAAGTTGTAACTGTTTTTGCAACAATTTTAAAATTATATATTTTTAAATTACCTATATTGAGTTTTAGGTACCTCAGCTAACGCCTATGACCTAGAACTAGAGTTTTTCCTTTTTTCAAAAAATAACATTTTTATTACCGTACTGTTTATTTTACAAAGTTTACATTGGTATTTTGTATAATCCATAATGTTCATATGTGGTACTTTTTAGAGATATTTTGCATTGTATTTATCCGTATAGATGTCTATTGATTTATATTTACATCTAACATATTTAAAAAATATTCTCTATTGATATCAATGAACGATTTGTTTGCTCTAATCATCTATCCTACTACTAATATTATAAATGAGAAAGTTTGGATGTATAGATGTATGGATGTATGGATGTATGTTTGTGACAAGTGAACGCGAAAAATACTGGTCGGATTGGGCTGAAATTTGGCATGATGATAGCTCACATTCCCGATTAACATATAGGCATATTCTTATTTCAAAAATCCTTTCGGGCTCCGCCCCAGTGGCTCTGGAGTTTTCCGTGTTAACCTTATGAGAAATGGAATTATTGAATCTTAACAGCTGTTTCAATTAAACAAGTTGGTTCTGTTCTATGATGTTCAATAGCATTAAAGTTACAAGGATTACTAACAGGGTGCATCACTTTTTTTACATTTATGACAACAGCTAATTTGCAACCAAAAGGTGAGTGAGCGTAGCGAACGAACTTCAACCTGGAGGCGAGTTAGCGTAGGGAACGAGCTAACCTGAAGGCAAGTGAGCGCAGCGAACGAGCTCCAACCTAAAGGTGAGTGAGCGTAGCGAACGAGCTCCAACCTAAAGGTGAGTGAGCGTAGCAAACATACTTTAACCAGGATGTGATTGAGCCATGCGAACGAGATAATCTTGAAAATTAAGAAGTTAAACGGGGCAAAGCCCGCGGGTTACAGCTAGTATTGATATATTTTATGTTTAAAGATGTCTAGTGATATGTATTGACTAAGTTTTCAGTGATGTCTATTTGTTTATATTTACTTGTAATGATATCCATGAACATCTATTGATATCACTAAGCATCTAGTGATATCAATAGATTTTTTCTATTGATTTCTATTGATGTCTTCCACTAGGGTAGGGTTTGGATTAAAATAAACAACAAACACAGGGCATGTGTGTAAACAAGTTTTTATGTTTAAATGTATATTTAAGTGTTTTATTAAAATCCTAATGATAACCACCCAACATCTTATGTCATAGGACCACCCAACTTGACGTTTTTTAGACTTTTTTTAAATATTCACAAGTACAAAACAGCTGTAGTCTCTGCGACATCACAGGATCAAACGATGGAAGCACATGTGAAATACACCTTGAACTTATCTTAGTTCTAAAGCATGCTGAACAGAGTTACAACCACAGAGTTACCTCTATTCTTGCCTGGAGTTATGAAGTGATTGACCTCAGTGCCGTGTCTGTTGAAGTATTGCCTCGGCTCAGGCATGAGAAGGTGTCTTGTGGACTTGGACAGGGGCGAACTGACGTCCTCGGGCTCCGTAAACCTAACACCTGACGTCCACTTCACAGGCCACTCTGTACCTGCTAGCATGTCCTCTGGAAAGCACATGAATAAGGGTTAAAGTTGAGATAACTTTTTAAACCATTATTTTTGTATGTTTGTACAAAGAATTAGAATTGATTTTGAAAAAAAATTGCTTGTTAATCCACAAACTTGTTAAAGAATCTTTTAAATTAGATAATATCCAGTTATTTTAATAATTTATATTTATACAGTGTTTATGGGTAATAATAACATTGTCAATAACATAAACTGACCTGTGCAGGCTCCCATAGCCTGAACTGACACATCCTTCTGATATCTGCATGCATAGAGCTTCAACTGGCATTCAGAACCATAAGTTTGACCATCACTTCCGCACACCATTTGCTGAAAAATATCAAATATCTTTATTCTACCCCTAATACAGTACAAGTACCTATATAAGTATACCGGTAACTTAATCTTTTATTTAATTTCTTTAACTTAAATCTGTGTTAGAAATTCTCTAGTTTATCGTGTACTATACAGGGTGAGTTTTAATTGTCCCCCCCCCCAACTTTTTTCTACATTTTTTCAAATATCAATCCCAGACCACTTCCAAACATTGTTGGATAGTAAGTACTTCATTTTGACAAGGTGGTCATTTCCGGCCGCCATCTTGGATCCGCCATATTGGATGCAAATTTTTTTTTTCAAATGTAAAGGTGGGGTTGTGACCCATTATTTCGAACTAACTTTTTACCCTGATTACAATGCCGAAAACCGTTTTTAAAAATCTTGATTCATTCTAAAGTTATGAGGGCTTTTTAAAACTTTATTTTTAGCCCATTTTAACATTGTGCATTTACAAACTAAGACCATAATCTCAAAATAGTGCTAGATAAAGATAAGTATACACTACCAGTAATTGTCGACCTATTTTCACTTGGTTATGACTGATGTATTTTTTTCGGCCGCCATCTTGGATCCGCCATTTTTGAAATGTGATAAATTATTTTAAATATGAAGGGGGTGTTGTGACCCATCATTTCGAACTACTTTTTTAAGTTGAACTTAATTCCATGATCCGTTTTTCATTTTCATTTTTTGATTTTAAAATATTGACATTTTTAACAAAAAAATTTCAATATTTCATAAATAAAACTTGATAACAAAAAATGGATTGCGGCATTGAATTAAGCTTAAAAAAGTAGTTCAAAATGATGGGTCACAACACCACCTTCATATTTAAAATAATTTATCACATTTCAAAATGGTGGATCCAAGATGTCGGCCGAAAAAAATACATCAGTCATAACCAAGTGAAAATAGGTCAACAATTACTGGTAGTGTATACTTATCTTTATCTAGCACTATTTTGAGATTATGGTGTTATAGTCCTCGCCACCCTAAGTTGAGGCAGGCAAAGGCCGCACTAGATATACGCAGTGCGGCCTTGGGCTGCCTCAACTTAGGGTGGCGAGGACTATAGTTTGTAAATGCACAATGTTAAAATGGGCTTAAAAAAAGTTTTAAAAAGCCCTCATAACTTTAGAATGAATCAATATTTTTAAAAACGGTTTTCGGCATTGTAATCAGAGTAAAAAGTTAGTTCGAAATAATGGGTCACAACCCCACCTTTACATTTGAAAAAAAAATTTTGCATCCAATATGGCGGATCCAAGATGGCGGCCGGAAATGACCACCTTGTCAAAATGAAGTACTTACTATCCAACAATGTTTGGAAGTGGTCTGGGATTGATATTTGAAAAAATGTAGAAAAAAGTTGGGGGGGGGGGACAATTAAAACTCACCCTGTATAGGGTACAGTAGTTTCTAGGGACTTTACGTTATTAAACCTTAACTTTTATCAAAAAACATCATTCATGTCGTAAAGACAAGATAAACTCACAATCACCAAATGATCTTCCTCTAACCACTGCTTTAGAAAAACCCTGATGTTGTCATCTCTAACGTAACTCACAAGACGTGACAATACACACCTGAGGTTGGTCTGCTTCCTGAGGACATGTCATGGTGCACACACAGCGAGCCTGACCTCCGCTCTCTTCACACATGGCTCCCATAAAACAGGTGAGATCACCACACGACGACGGTTGTCCTGTAGCCATCTCACCCCCGTCAGCTGTTCATCATATACAATGGTCAAATCACATACTTACTCAGTGGATTCAAATCAGAGGGAATTGGAGGATATTTGGTTTGTTTGGGATGGTAATAGTAGGTGAATAAGATTGTTGGATCTCCATACAGACCAGCTTGCTCGATGCTGATGGGCAGTTAGAATAAAAAAAGCTACGTACCTGAGATACATCCGTTATGTCCCAGCAGTTGTGTTGGGTCAGTACAAGTGTCACATTTATGTCCCTGGACTCCCGGCTTGCAGACACACCTTCCTGTCATCTGTTCACAGTCCTCCCTCACTGAACCCATCATGGAACAGCTGCAAGCTAGAAAAGAAATAACAATAAATTTGAACATTAAATTTTCAGCCATTCTTAGTTTAGTATTTTCAGCTATGTCAAAAAATTTAAAATAGGTAGGCATAGAAAATGTGTGATGTTTAACTAAAGAGTTCAGATCAGTGCTCGATTTGACAATTTGTTTGAAAGAATTTGATGTCCTGGAGCTGTAACCTATTTAATGTGATTATGGTATTATTTTCATCTTTCTAAAAGAGAGACCGAAACTCTGTTCCGCCGTTTTCCCCCTCAATTCAAGCACATACTCGAGATTATCAATAAAAACATTTTGATGATAATATTTTTAATTTTTAGTCATTATAGTCACTGTATGTGGTTCATGCTTTTTAATGAAAAGCAACATAGACTTCCGGATTTCCTGTTTAGAATTTATACTATTTACTGCCGCTATTGGTAAAAAAAACAGCTATCCTTCCACTTTTGAATATAATGACCCTTCATTTGACCAACGATGATTTAGTAGTTTATAATCATAAGTAATTAGTGAACCACATGAAATCTTTTCGGATTTATAATTATTAGAGTTTTTCAGAGTTATATGTTTGTAAAATGGTTTTGCTGGTACAGTACTGATGTAATTCTGAGGCTGTAAAAAGCAATACAAAATTAAAAAATGTTAACATTTAAGAAACCCTAGTTTTAAGTAAAGATAGAATTATTCTTATCAATCTCTTACCTAATATTTCAATGGACATACATTAAAAAAAAGTCAAATCACCAGAGTCAAGAGACTATAGATACGAGATGGTTTAGTTTAGACAGAGTTCACACAATCTTGATGGCTGGAGAAAAAAAGACAAGGGTTATAAAAGTGATTGTAAAACACTTACGCAGACAGCCCTGATGGCCAGAAGTGATCTTGGGCAGACCCCAGTAGCCAGACTCACAGCGATCACACTTGAGTCCTCCGACCCCTGGCTTGCACTTGCACTGCTCCGTGTTGGGCTCACATGTCTCACTGTACGATCCTACAGCATGGTGAATAAATTGAACACATTGTTACACACTATTCCACGGAACTGAATTGAATATTTAACAGTTTTCTTTATTTTCTCTAGCAAGTTTTCATAGATTTAAAAATTAGAAGACTATTCAGCCGTAAACTCAGCTCCTTACCTATCTTGTTGCAGCCGCACAATGAAGGACATCCTGCGTTGTCAGGACCTTGGGCTGGCGACTTGTCATCAGGACAACATCCAAACCAAGAGTCATGGCAGCTCTTCAGATATACTCCGGTTTCTAGAGAACATCATTTCACGGTTAATCATTTAGAAGCTATGGATTTGAAATAACCGGTATTTTGTTTATCAAACAATAATGCTTATTTAAATTTGGATTCATTAATGGAAGGAGATGAGTTTGGAAGAGTATTTTTAAGGTTGGATTTTTAATTTGGTGCTTTTTATCAAGAAAACAATAGGCGGTGAATCTTGAACGAAGATCATTTTTTAGAAGATCAAGAAAATATATCATTAAGGATTGTCTTCCAACATAACTACTAGAAAATTTAACATTGAGAAAAAAAGTAAAAGAAATACTAATTTAATTCCTTTTGTCAATTTAAAAAGGCTCCTGGAGAACAGAACCAATAAAAGATTTGTTGAAAAATATGGAACTAAAAAACTAAGAAACTAAACAGAGGTACATTGATCCCGGTACATCGAGGTTGTATTTTTTATAGGCTACAGTGTATAAAACAGACTGTGGATTTCAAAGCTCTAGCGAGATATGAGAGTATTATTACACTTATAATTTGAGGATTTAAACAAACAAATCAGATAGAATAAAAACTAACAGACTAGAATACAATTATGGTCAACAGACAGATAAAAGAAAGAGTGATTTTGTAAGAAAATAAAATTAAATAATAAATAAATATTAATGTCCATAAAATAATAAGATAATTAATTGCAACACAGTACCGGTAATCTTTATGGGACAAATCATCGATAAATCCAGATTCAGAATGCAAAGTACGTTGATTATGTAGAAGCAGCAAAATTTAAAAAGTGTTGATTTCAATTCATGTATTGCTTAGAAACAATTCAAAATCAATGGAACTGTAAATTTATTGGCAAGTAAATGAAGAAGAAGAATTGATGAATGGGAGTGCCTTAGGTGACTAATGTAGCAGCTAGTAAGTAACACTGGATTGTTATGGAGCACCTTACTGATTAATGCCCTCTATTCATATCCATCCAAAGCCCTGTTGAATAGTAAATCACATACAAGAGTAGCTACCTGTACAGCTTTTGCATTGCATTGCTTAGGATAATTAACACCGGGTGATACATGATCACAGTGTTTCAAATTCAGATTATTTAGTTTGAGCTTTGAAAACCCTTCAATAATATGTTAATACACTTTATAAATGAAGATTCTTGATAAGGCAGATCTTATTTCAGCACATAAAATGTATTTAACTATTTACTACTATTTTTATTTAAAGATTTATTTTTGTTCTTTGTGTTTTACCAGGCATTACAGCAATACAAATTAGTCCAGTCAAGGAATGAGGTGTAGAGTGCGTGAGCAGGTAACTAAGCGATTCCTTCAGAAACTTGTTCAGGGGGCTTAGGGTGTTAACATACCAAAAGTCCTGACTCCTAGGTGGTGAGCCAGGGGGTGGAGGGGGGAAAAAGGGGGGGAGAAAGGTACGCATTATGGTTTTTTTAATTATATTTCGAAAACTATCAACTTTTTGTATACTATAGTAAATTATAAAATTGAAGAAGATTAAATTTTCTACAAGAAAAGTATATAATGTGTTTATTTTGGTTCAACAGATTACGAGTTATAACTTATTTAATTAATATCTTATTAAAATGCTCCTTCCATAAGAAATACATGTAAATTAGTGTGTGAAATGGGGCGAATCCTATCCGCCCAAAGGAAATATAACTGATATTCTGGAAATCTTGACAAAATTTCCAGTAATTTGACACTTTAATCATTAAAATTGATCCAAAATTAAGGCGAGGGTGAGGTAACAAAATGTTGAGTTTTGGTGTTTTTTTTATTGGAAATATAAAAAAAAACCTCAAATCATCCCGTTTTTAAACGCTCACCCTCGCTTTAATTTTTGATAAATTTTAATGATTTAAGTGTCAAATTACTGGAAATTTTGTCAAGATTTCCAGAATATCAGTTATATTTCCTTTGGGCGGATAGGATTCGCCCCATTTCGCATACTAATTTACATGTATTTCTTATGGAAGGAGTATTTTAATAAGATATTAATTAAATAAGTTATAACTCGTAATCTGTTGAACCAAAATAAACACATTATATACTTTTCTTGTAGAAAATTTAATCTTCTTCAATTTTATAATTTACTATAGTATACAAAAAGTTGACAGTTTTCGAAATATAATAAAAAAACCCAAAATGCGTACCTTTCTCCCCCCCCCTTTTTCCCCCCTCCACCCCCTGGCTCACCACCTAGGAGTCAGGACTTTTGGTATGTTAACACCCTAAGCCCCCTGAACAAGTTTCTGAAGGAATCGCTTAGTTACCTGCTCACGCACTCTACACCTACTTTTGGATAATTCGTTGACTGGACTAAATGTGTTTTCCTACGGTCACCTGACAAAGTGGCCTTCCTTGAACTGATTATAGCTCAGAAGGGGCTAATTTCTGCATCTACTTACTTTTGCGGCACAATTTTTACTTTTGCAGCACAATTTTTTTTGCCACACACAAGTATTCCAACTAAAGAACACAAAACAGCGTGCTTTTATTAGGCACGTAATATGTGTACGCTTGAATATAAGTTAGCAACACTTTAAGATATTACATAAACTACTATCAGCTGGTGCGGCGTTTCCCATTTCATTCAATGTTTGAATTTAACCTGACCTAAAAAAACGTGTAGTAGTGTTTGAAATACTAATTATTGATATGCTTTATAGTAACTGTAGGAAAAATTTAATATGTAAAGCGAGTGCAAACTGCCTTTGCTGCACTCGAGAAACTTTCCACACGAACCGTGCAGCAGTGCCACTTCGCCCATTAGTTACACAAATAACTATTCCTTCCAGCACCTTTTATCCATGCAATCTGTTGTTTTTTTGTTGTTTGATGTTAAACAAAACATTTATAATGAGGATGGTTTTGAAATTTTATAATGACAATGTAGTTGACTTAAAAAAAAACTTTGAATTTTGACACCAGTAGCGAAAGCCTATGTATTAATTGATTCATGTCTAAATAATAGATTTTCAGTGTCAACTACTAGTGTTAGTGATTAAAATACAAGGTAACCTTTTTTTCCTACAGTTACCTAACAATGTACATGTTCTCTCACTGATTTGAGAAAGCAAAGTGGCCAATTCGCTCATCAGTGAGACAATGTTAACATTGTCTCACTCTAATTACTTTGTCTCACTCCAGATTTGCAACGTGAAGGCACGAAATAGTGAGCGCGTAACATGCAGGCAACGTCGTATGCGCGCGAAATACGTTGGCAGCACTGGCTGTAAATCAGCTGGTCAGCTGTTGTACTGTTGTATTTGTCACTTCACATTTAATGTTATGTTAAAAGTTCACTTCTGTGTAAAAATAGGTTATGTTTCTTCACCAATTTATTTGTTTTATGGTAACTGTAGGAAAAGTATAATGTGCAACTCGAGTTCAAAGTACAATTGCCTCACTCGAGAAACCATTCCTCACTCGCCTACGGCTCGTGAGTAAGGATTTCTCTCGAGTGAGTCAATTGCTCACTTTTCTCACTAGTTGCACAAATAACTATTTCTCACCTTTTCTACAACACTTGGCGAACCGAGGTGTCTGATGGCAGTAGCTGTCTGAAGGACAATCCTGTCGGTTAGGACCACTGCCACAGTCCAACTCCTGGTTACTCACAGGGTCTACCACTGGGGGCTCTCCATTACACGGCTTCACCTCCATACCTGGCAACAGGAAATGAGCTTTTCTTATGGTGAAAGACAAAAAAAAATCCTTATGAGTAGTCTAGTTCTTTTTTATGGTGTATTCAAACGTTGATAACTGCATTGTCATTCAAAGGTTCAACCCTTTTAAGCCTGCATTTGTTTGACAACATGGGCCTCAAAGATCTGAATGAGGAATGATTCAAGCAAAGCAAGAGGTGAGTAACTAGAGTATAATAATCATCTTACTGGTTGGAGCTCAGGTATGCCAACACAAGACATCGCTACCTTGGCATTACAAACCCTTGCGTGGCAATTTTTTGAAAGCATACTTTTTAATCATATTTTTTTTACTATAGACAGTAAGAAAACATTGTCCAGGGAAAATTAAAGGTGATATATTAGTAGGTAGTCGTTAATAGATGCTTGGAAGAGAAGTGATTATAGGATAACCAGGATTGATAACCCGGAAGCAAGCAACTGGAGAGGGTTTGAGATATACCACATTGTTTCAGATCAACACAAACCTTGACATAGGTCTAGCGGCCTCAACCTGAGCTCCTCCTGACGTTGACAAGCCTCCATCTTCATGGCACACATGGACGGGTAGATCCTGAGGTCTGAGCCGCACACAGGGCTGGTCGGTTCCTGGGAGCAGTTCATTGTACAGGAGCACCGAGGGAAGCCGTCGGCGCCCAGCTCACAAGTGGCGTCGTAGTCACAGCGGATGTCCGAGCAGGCCTCTCTGGGCGTGTCTGTGGGGCGAGGTGAAGGTTGGGGTATAGCTCCTGGGGTAAGAGGTGTCGCTGGAATGTTAGTGTTGTTAGTGCCTCCACCAGGGTATGCAACTAAGGTTGATAAAGCAAGCAGTGAGATGTGTCACGATGTGTGATAGTTTGTAATTCGTGTAGACCTAGTTTAACAGTTACCTAGATTAGATTTATAATATAATAATCTAAAAGAAACTGTAAATTAATATAAAAGATAATTAATGTTTTACCCATCAAATATCTGGGAAAATAAAATTACCTATAGACTATTGTGTGACAAATATGAATCTGTAAACGTAAACAGTAAATACCTGTAAAAAGGTACTGTGTGTCGCTTTAGAAAACATTTTTAAGCATTTAATTAATCTTTCCCAGATAGCAAAAAATACTTGATTAAAGCTTGAAACAAGTTTGATTTGTCAAATCTGCAAACTTGAATCAAGTTTGCTCAGATGGGTCCGTAAACTTGATTCAAGTTAATATCATGCGTCGAAGTTCCCGCTCTTCCAGTTTGAATAAAACTTGAAATATCTAATTTGAATAAAACTTGAAATTTCTAATTTGAATAAAAATTGAAACATCTAATTTGAATAACACTTGAACTATCTAATCTAAATATAAATTGAAAAAATACTTGATTCAAGCTTGAAATAAGTTTGGTTTGTCAAATCTGCAAACTTGAAGGATCAGGTTTGTAAACTTGATTCAAGTTAAAATCATGCGTCGAAGTTCCCGCTCTTCCAGTTTTAATAAATCTTGAAAGATCCAATTTTAATAAAACTTGAAATATCTAATTTGAATAAAAATTGAAGTATAATATATTGAATATAAATTGAAGAGTACAAAAAATAATTCTTTTTTAGCCACTTACAAGCTCTTTTTTATTTCTGAAAATTTAATTCATTTGCTTTTACCAGGATTCACACAGTCTTGGCACAAGTAATAAAAATTTCATATTTTTTAGGTTGAGATGCATAGCACAATATAATCTTCCAATATTTAAGATAATTTTTCACAATCACAACATAATCTAATAACTTCAATGCCTCTAGTTGTTAAATGCCAAGACATTTCTCTAAATAAAAAAGCGAGATACCATCTAAAACTTATTTCTATAAAAGAGCAGGAAAACATGAATTATTATAGTTTTCAACCCTACAATTTTACATATTATTACTATTCAGAATTCTTTGAAATTTAAAATAAAACACAAGAGGTAATTTGTCTAAATAGATTTATATTGAAGATATACATAACACATTTACATTTGAAAATGCCCCGTATCTTTAACTTTCAACAAACAATTCCCTCAAAAATTCCTCATTTTACGATTACTTTAATACAGAGTAAGTTATCTATTCAACAAGATCTTCATCCCCATTGAGTGGAACTTCTTCCCCACTGGCACACCTCCCTGCCACCTCCTCCATGTCCTCTGCTTGGTTCCTCTGGCACCTGGCACAGTGGCAGGTTTTTTCCTCTGAAAAAAGTCAAAACAAATAGAATCAATATTAAATTTAAGTATAATTAACCAAAATGATTAATTTTGTATCTGGTATAAAAAAATAGGCAAGTAAGCAACATTTTAAACTAACACAGATTAACTCACAACCAGTGTTGGCCTGTTTGATGAAAATTAATTTTTTCTACAATGATATACAAATACAATATATGATCTTCCGAATAGTATTAATATTAATTATTAATATGTATTAAACACAATTACATTTTTATTGTCAAAAAATGCTTGACACAAGCCCAGGGTTGTTTTCACATTACTTCAGGCGAGACCTAGGCGTTGCGGCATTATCACTTCAATAAAATAATTAGGTGAATCTGCGGGATTTTATATTTTATCGTTTAAGTATAAAACTAGTGATAGTTCTTGGTTGGTTATCCTAAATATTGCCAAGAGATTTGTTACAAATCTTGCTCATACTTTACAAATATTTATAAGCTTTCATTTACTGTATAAATTAACCCAGGTAAGCCTAGCATTGCTATGAAACATGAAAACCCCTCTACAAGAATAAAAATACTAGAATTTTTTTTTGCGAATTTCCCTACAGGGAAATACAGGGTAAGTAGCTATTACTGTAGGTGGCATGGTAAGACCTAGGCCCGGGACCGATTTACTTTTTCATTTTGATGTCCCCAGAGCCCAACACTATTCGTTCACATTTTTATATATGTATATATAGATTTATATATATATATATATATGTCCGTAAACACGATAACTTGAGTAAGTTAATTTTTGTCCGATTTTGATGAAATTTGGTTTGAAGGTGTAAGGCGGGATAAACTTGAATAGCCTAAGTTCGCGAACCAGCATGATCGGACCATGGGAACGGGGTTTTACGGGGGGTTTTATGGGGTAAAAATGGGGTTTTCTAATGTTTGACCTTCTAAACACAAAATTTCCCAATTTCTCCCCAGACCTTTTTAAAGAGCTTAAAAAAACAAATGATTTAGTATATCAAAGTGTTTTTGTACAGTTATTGGTTACGGAGAAAATAAAAAAAAAATATTTTAAAATTCCTATTTTATTCTTATGGAGAATATTGTAAAATGTTGTAGTTTGCTTGTTTATAGATATATTTTGACCAAACTTGGTAAATTTATTTATTTGATACTAAGTAATTAATATTTTACTAAAAAAACACACTTTTTTACCCTCCTTGTAGCAGCAAGCCTAGGTACTCATTAAAGCTAATGTTAATTAAATACATTTAATTGAAAATCAATTCAGGCAAATGTAAATTCACTTAGTCGGCAGGTTTGCTGCGGCGGGGGTATTTTTTTAGCTTATACAGTACCTACTTGAGTTATCATAATGATAAACAATAAAAAACATTTTTATGAAAAACCATTATGCAGTAGACTCTTTTTTACCCAAACACCTAGTAACCAGACTGCACTCAGCAGATATATTTCTTAAACCAGACAATTTTTATCAGTACGGTTTAACCACACTGGATCGGCAGGAAGTGGTCGGTACCACAGATGTCTGTACTGAAACAACTTGTCTTGTAGGATAGATTTGAGACCATTCATCAGATGTCTAAAGATCAAAAGATTTAAAAGGTATAAAGTCTTGGCATCTTGTGTTTTGTTTACAGTAATTATCCCAAATTGTCTATAGTTTGGCTATTTTTACAGAATTAACATTATTGGATTTAACCCTCCGAGTGTTATGTGTCGTAAAAGCGACTCATAACACATCGGCTGTAGTGTTATGTGTCGCTTTTGCGACTCACTAATACTGTTTACGGCGACGGCTCTGGGACTGACTGAATCGGATTGAACAGGATAGAGTTAGGTAGCCTATAGTTTTTTTTCAGCAGATTCAGAGCTTTCTCCTGATGTCTGTTTCTATACGCTTTTCATTTTATAGTTCCGAAAATATTGTAGCAGACAGCTGACGTGCGCATTTGTAAACAAGCTGTGCTTGGTTAACCTCGCACCGATGACTGATGTGTTTTATTACGTTTATCATTGTTTTAGTGTTAAAAATCCAAAGTAGTGATATGCTGTGCTTGGTTAACCTCGCACCGATGACTGATGTGTTTTATTACGTTTATCATTGTTTTAGTGTTAAAAATCCAAAGTTGTGATATACGTGGTACATTATAAGGAGATTTAAGTGATTTTGAAGGGCTGGTTGATGATCCTGAAGAAGTAGGTAGTGATATTGATGTAAATTATCAGCCAGATTCCTAGCTATGGTTAGGCAATGCATTCTTAGCTAAACGCTATGTACCGAAATCTGTTTTTTGCTCATAACTTATTTATTTGCAAACCTACTTCCTTATATTATTATATTTTTGGAATCCTCATAAAATTCTGAACAAAAGAGCTATTTTAAAATATTTGTAGACCTATAAATTATAACAATTTATTGAGCGCAAACATACATTTTTTCATTTATTTTATAATTTTTGAGAAAGTTTAACCCCACAATAATTAATGAACATGTTTTTTGTAATTTTTTATACTTATGTTACATTGAAGCCCATAATTTTCCAAACAAAATGATATATAAAACAGTATACTTTACATTATTGTTTTTAAGTTTCTAAGATACATTTTAATAAAACCCTGCGATTGCACAATAAATAGGCGAACATTAAGACCAAAACTAGAGACACTTGGAGGGATATATTTTGCATTAGACTTTTATCATGTTAACAAGTATGAGGGCACGTCAGTTTCAACTGTCTCCTCCCCTGTATAATTGAGTCCACTGTTACAGTATTATTAGGCTACCAATGGAATTCTATTAATGATGAGTTGAATAGTTAGTTGATGAAAATTTTTATCCTTACCTTCTTTCACATCTGGTCTTGGCTTGTTGAAGCTACTTAGCAACAATGCTTGTACCTTTGGCTTCTGTGGCTTCACTCATGCCGAACATTTTCCGTGCAGCAGCTAAAAAAAAAAAAATACTTAAATTGAACTTAATACAGAATAGTATCCTACATTTAACTCCTAAGACCTAAAGTTTGTCCTCCCATTTCAAACTTTCAAACCTGGGGTTAGGTTTAATTTCTGAAGCAAAGTTCAAGATTTTACTTTCATATTATCCTTAATATTTTAATAAATCAACTGTTTGACAAGTTCGCTCGGCACGTACATGCGCCAGTAGAGCGATCAAAATAGACCGATCCTAATATTCAACGTCACTGATGGACTAAAGGTAGTAAATTAGTCAGTAGCGAATAGTAAACCTTCATTTGATTTTTCCATTATCAGCAAGTTTGTTAGTTAGGTTAGGTTATGACAGTTTAATTTTTATATTACACGAATTATATTTTTTTTATTTTTTAACTCATTTTCTCCGTATAAAAATTCCGCAGGTGAAATAAAAATTGTGCCACCCCTACAGTGCCTATTTTAACCGCTTCTGGTTAAAAATAATCCAGCTGTAGGCCGATGTGTATAACTTTATTTAGAAGGTCTTTATTACATAACGTGTGTCTAAACTTAAGCCTAGACCTAAGTTATTTTAGTTATAAAATATTTATGTTAAAACACCCAGGTAGCCTACATTTCTGCAATAACCCTACAAAAGGCCTATTTTATATCATCAGATGCGACTTTTATTCGATAATTTAACTTAGGTAACTTAATAAAATATTAAGTTAAATTAGGATTACGTTATTTTCCATAAAATACTTAAGTAAAGTTATACTTTAAATGTTTGACTCAGATTAAAATATTTAATTCGATGTAAAATATTAAGTTTAACTTAAACTTAGGCCAGAGTTTCTCAAAGTGTGGTCCGCAAGCATTTTTTTGTGGGGTCCACGAAAAACATTTTAATCAAATTTATTTTTATATGTATTGTATATTATATTATACTAGCCTATTTTGCTATAGGCTAAAGGTTTAAAATTAAGAAAAATGCAAACGAACTTAAACCTAAACAAGTAACTTACTTATTTATTTAGGTTTAAGTTTGTTTGCATTTTTTAATTTTTATTTTAATAAGTAGCTTAAAGGCCTATTTTGCTTGGAGGGATTGCAGCGATAGTCACGTGGCGATAATCGGTCCGCAATAGTAGCTGGGCACTGCTCTGACGGAGTTTGCGTTGTCCTATTTTGCTTGGAGCGACTATCGCAAGAGTCACTAGCTAAAGACGCGGACCACTGCCCTGGGTACCAGTCTGAGCGATAATCGCGCAGCGACTGATGCACAGTAAAAACATGCACAGAACCTCAAAACAGTCCAGTTCACTCAGTAGGCACATTAATAATGCGGGTTAAAAAAGCCATAATCTACTTTTTTGTTCACATTATTTTTTCCATTCATGTGCTGTTAGGGTTGTACTGTTTTGGTTATTTTTCCTTACACATTAATTTAATTTTCTATATTTAATTGTAGAAGAAACAGGCGACTCTTTATTACCAGCAAACTTTGCATTGTCATTGCTCAAATGGTTGTGTTTACATTTTTGTAGGTAATCCTCGTCTATTCGAATTTAAATATAAAATGCTTGACTGTTCCAAGTTGACTATGTGTTATTTAGTTGTAGGTTTTAATACTGTAGGCCTATCAGTTTTTTTTGTATGAATAAATATTTTTTATTTAGACTCCAAGTTTTATTTTCCGACATTCATGTACTCTTATTGATATCACTAATTTGTTTTTATTGATATAAATATATTTTCTTCATTGATATCACTACAGTTAATTTCTATTTTATCCTACCTAGTGACATCTACTGATACGTATCCGTCCCAAATCCTACGTATCACTATGTATTTTCTATCGATCGTCTATTGATACTTCCACTAGGGTCAAGTAGAGCCTCGTTTTCTAACTCCTCCCTGAGGAGATGGGTACTTTAAAAAGTTACAACACGCACTCATGACCTCACCATTGTGAGTGCTGGTATTCAGATAACTATTAAAAATCGTGCGATGACCGAAAATCAATCGCTCTAAGCAAAACAGCCGCCGTAACAGCGATAGTAACTGAGCGACTATCGCTACAGTCGCTCCAAGCAAAATAGGCCTTAAGTTAAGTGACTAAATCAAAGTAAGTTAACGTAATGCCAATTTTAGTTTAAAGGTTTAATGGAGAAGAAATGTTGTAGCCTATATCAGAAACTCATCGCATGAAAGCTGACCAGACTCTTACTGCGATTAAACGTAGGTCAACGTAGGTCATGTAGGCATTTTATCTGACAGTGTCACTAACAAAGTAGGCTTAAATATCGAGTAGGCTACTGAAGTAACTTAGCTTTAAGTCCCTAGCCCTAAGTTATAAGTTACCTACACATTAAAATATCATGGTAATGGCATTAAGTTAAGTCTAAAGCCGGGTTTTCCTAAACGCGGAAGAGGAGCGCGGAGAGCGGAAAATTGATTAACATGACATTACGCTCCGCTTCTAGGAAAACAGTAACATTAAACTATTTAAGACAAGAGTTCACTCTCCACGCTACTCTCTCCCCGTCTAGAAAACCCCAACTTTATAGAAATAGTCTACAACGTAACTTAGGCCCATTATGGCTAATCTAGGCTATAACTTACCATAGTCTATAGCCTACTATAAACAGTGAAGACAATGCCTAAGTTCGACCAAACCACAATAAGCTACCTACATAAGCTATCTTACATAGAGAACTTGATATCCAAGCTGGTTAAAAAAAATGTTTTTAGGCATACAAACAACTCAAACAAACTAAGTTAGGGCGATAAGTTGACAACAAATTATCGGTCATACTTAAATACACTTCGCCTCTAACCTTTTTATTTTTTAGGCTAGGCTACTCATTGCACGTAGGTTGACCAACTCAAAAGTGGCTTGCTATAACTTAGGCTATACTTAAGTTAGTGCTTTCAAAATTTTCACTGATTTTGAGTTTACTTAATTTCTTCCTAGGTTATTCTCGTAATTAAGACGATTTGATTTTGTTAGTCACAATCCTTGAGTTTACTTAGCCTAGTTTGTGATAATAAGAACTTACCTTGATGGATAAAAAGAAATAGGCCTAGATGAAACTTAATAAAAAATCAGCTTCAACAATATATAATAACTTGAACAACTCAGCACCACAATATCGATATTCTCAATGAGAGAGATTGAGAATGAATCACTCACAAATACACAAAGACAAAGCAATCTAAAAGCAATATGGCCGATGGCGTCTTCAAGTCTTCAAGTGTTGGTCCCGCCGTTAGCGTTGTTCCCGCTCGGAATTGTGGGTAACTTACACTCGACTCCAATTTGAATCCAACGTGATACTTAGAAGCTGTAATTTCAAACCAACGTAAGCGTAATGGAAGTGCATTGTGGGTAATATTACACTTGACTCGGGTTCGAATCCAATGTGATATTTCAAAGCTGTTAATACAAGCAAGTGCAAGCGTAATTACAGTGTGTTGTGTATACTCGAATCCAGTTTGAATCTAATGTGACATTTCAAAGCTGTTAATTCAATCCACTGTAGGCGTAATTCAAGTGTGTTACACGAAGTTGTCACTTGACTCGAGTTTGAATCTAAAGTGACAATTCAAAGCTGTCATTTCAAGTAAAAGCAAGCGTAATTCAAGGCTTGAATCAAGCTTACGTGCTATCTGGGTTGGTTAGGTAAATATATTTCACAAGCAATAGGTCTAAAGCTAAGGTAAAAAGCAATAGTCAAAGGTTGTGCTTAAAATTGTCAATTCAAAACATTTGTTACAGCTTTTACATTGCTGTTCCCATTTATTATATCTGGTTGTTACCGTAGTTGGTTTTATGATTTTGTTGCTCTATTTAAAAACAGCCCTAAATTATAAAAATGGCAATTAATTCTCATTAAAACCAACAAAGATAGAAGCTAGATCACAACTCATCGGTATCTCATGCAAGCAATGTCGTTATCTTTCACATCTTCAATTAATTCATGGTATGTAGCTTACTGACCAAAAAAACCTAAAACTATATTGATTCATTTATGCATTTACTTCTGATAGTTTGGCCAATGATCTGGTCCCGAAGCATTTGGACAATTAGAGAGTCTTTACCTATTAAATTGTACTTTTTCAAGAAGAAAGAAAAATCAACATCAGCTACCAAGTGATCAAGTAAACAGTTGAAGGCTCTAAAAGACTCACTCGTCATGCCAGGGCCGAGGCGGTCACTGCAGTCCCCGTAGAAGACAACAGTCAGAGTGAGGGGAGGGTCGGCCAGACACGCTTGTTTCTGCATCTCGCACTCATTGGCATAAGTCTGCATGTTTGAAGCACACACAGGCTCCTCAGGTACGGAGGGACAGTCCGTGGGACACACACATACACCAGCCTCACACCTGGCACCGTGCTTGCAAACTATGTCCTTGCATAGGTCTGCTAGGACTGTAAACATAGGCGAGAGTGTTGGTAATGTTACATTTCATTTTTGAACTTCAATTAATAATTTCAATTATTTATTTAAATGTAAATTTTAAAATATAATTATTCTACCTATCGCAAAAATAAAGAAAAAGACTATGTTGCATTTTACTTACCACAATCCCCATCATATGCTATCTGAATCGGTAGTTTTTTCTCGCAAGCAAATTTTTGCAGTTCGCATTCGTTCTTATATGTGACGTTGTCAGTGCCGCAAACTTTGTTTTCTTCCTGAAATCATAAAGCATGAATATGTAGCAAGTTCTCCAAAGAGTTTTCCATGGAAATTAGCAAAACCCATACAAAGTGCCCGATTCAATTACGGGGACATTATCATCGTCACTGTGTAAAAATTCAACTTTTGTAAAAAAATTGATAACAATAGTTTCCTTTTTAAAAATGTTTATATTTTTATTTTGAGCGAGATTTTTTAAAATATTAAATTAACTATTTAAGGGTTTCTGTGAGCAATGGCATGTGTTGCTTTCCAGACAAACCAAACAAATACCTCTGATAATTATGAAATAATTGCACCACTATATGAACAAATATTTTGATAACGCTTGATTTACAAACGAAAGAAGAAGTGTGCTAAATCATAACATAGTCAAAACAAAACATTTTAACAATACCTGTTAGAAAATAAATATTATAATAAAGTAGACCAAAGGCAAAACAGCTGTGGCTAAGTTGACGCCACGCCTCTTTTTATAGTATATACTCATATGATAGTGCATCTATAGTACTCTATGCGTATTGTACTAGGTTAAGGAACGCATAATTTACCTCCAGACATTTGTGGTTGCAGATACATTGTGCTTCCCCCTGAGAATCACTCTCACAGACAGAGTAATATTCACAGTGTTTATTCTCACAGCCTCCTGAAATGTAACGATAATAAGCTATTGAAGCTGAACAATCATTTTGATTACTTTAGAAACTCCTATTACAGTGCTTTAATTTTAAGTAGGCCTAATTTAATAGCTTATATACCATTTATCAAATTATTGGCATCAACTGTAAGATCATATAATGAGATTCAGAAAAAGAAAAATATTATTTCTTAATAAATCTACACTAAGCCATGAATAAATATTACTAAAAGAAATTTCTTTTAACTAAGCATGTAGATTTCTAAAAACTTTGAAAGGCAGTGAGTACAACTTAGAGCTCAAGATGCATAGATCACCCAGTCTTAGGTATTTTGAAATGAGCATAATAAAAATATAGTTAAATATTAAAGAAAAAAGATAAGAAATGTATGTGAACTCTAGTTTAAATAGCGATTGTCTACAATATATTCTATGATTCATTAATCTTGACATATACCTATAGAGAAAAAATTATTCACATTTACTTTATTTTACTGCTATAATTTACCGAGAGAAATAAAAAGTTATGAGATTATATTATACATTGTTAAAACACTCGTATCATCAAACTACTGAACATTTAAAATTTTGTCTAATCAAGTTACTGTACAAATTTGCTTAGCATTACATACAATAATAGGTCCTAGAAGAACATTTTAGTAAATTGTATAACTATATATTAAAAAAAAAAAAAAAAAAATTTTACAGACTATTGTTTTTTTTTTGTTTCTTTAATTTTGCATGACTATTTTTCCCTTTCATAACTCATTAGCCTTACCGCAAAGACCGCTGTGGACGATTGATATGTTGCGCATGTGTTGGCAAGACTGGAGCCGAAGTTTGCACTCGTTTCCATAGGAGATTCCGTCGGAGCCGCATATAGGGCTGAACTCCGTGGAGCATTGTGGACACTCACACACAGGCAGACCTCCCTTCTCCACACACTCGGCTCCATGGAGACACTTGTGGCTGCTGCATGGGCCACTGGCTCCTGGGGACACAGGGGGGGGGGGGGGGGGTTGTAACATCAAACATGAAAAATATATATCGTGTACTCGTTGTCTTCTGGTACCAATCAGTTGTTTACAAACTGCTTCCACTATAGTGTCCAAATTAACACTCTATTAACAGAGTACTGCTACGTTTCCGAAACGTGTCATTCAAATACACAATCCAATCCAGAAAAGAAACAAGTATACATATAGTGAGAACGACCATAGAGGGCTACATTCTTCATATTTTTTATAACTGTGGTTTGGTGGTGGGTAAATTGAATTAGAAAACTATTTTCCAGATATCAAACAAAATAGTTACTGTTAAGTTGGTTGATGAATCAGGCTTGTCAACAATTTCAAGTAATAAATCATTGTTTGAAAGATCACTAAACTTATACAATTCCCTTAAATCATTTTACTACTTGAAGATTACTATTACGTTGACTAGAAAAATATGACTACTTTTTCATCATGCAAGTACCTATTTAGAAAAAATAGTAATCAATAGTAATATACTCAAGATTTTACTTTATGAAAAATTATGCGACAATACTTTCAGTATCGAAAGTCAATGTTTTCAAATGTGAGAATATGCACACTATTACAGTAGGCTATGTATTTTAAAATTAGGAATTTTCATGACGTAAAATAACTGCGTATCTCGATATAATGTTTTGTGTCTCAATTCCAAAAAGTGACCCTGATCTTGATGCTATATCCAATGGAAATGCATTGTTCCATAGCATCATTAGTTTAATTGATAAACCTAAAACAAATGGCATCTGAGTCTAGAATAGACACCATTCTGAATCGAACCAGAAACCATCTAATTTTTAGACGAGCACTAAAATCACAAGACTACCGATGCAAAACCACTCTTTGACGCTCTTAGACATAAACTAATTCTTAAAATTCCAACTCTGAACATAACGTCTACAGCCCTTCAGAATATCCATAGAACGTACCACACTGCCCAGTGTGCGCCACCTTGATGTCCGCTTTGGCTTGACACGCCACCTTGCGCAGGTGACACATGGAGTCGTACGTTCGTCCGTCACTGGCACACACAGGGCGTACCACAGTCTCACACTCCGTGGGGCAGGAACACTCCGCGATGCCGAACTTTGAGATGATGCATTCTTCACCTGGCGAGCACAACAGGCTGCTGCATGGGTTGACACCTGGAAAGAGGGTAGAAAATGATACAACAGGGCGAAGCCCTGGCTGAAAAATGGAGAAAACCATACTCCCAAATTATCGGATGGTTGAGGATCCAAAGCCAGCTTTCCATCATTCAAGCAGTTTCGCTTAGGCTACGGGGAACTATACGAAAAATTCGAAGCATTCAATTTGAAGATGGTGCCGCAATTCCCCCATTGCTCTATTGAACTTTCATTTTATTTTTTTAAACATTTATATTTGATTGAAAATCATATTTTGTCCTTTAAAAATAAAGAAAGTTTGTTTTGACATTAACACTCTAGAAACCATTAATTACAATTAAAATATTTGACAAACCATTTTTGATCTGTTTTCAAAATAAATATTTTAAATTTAGAGTTGAGACGGCAACATTTGTTTATCAAAATTGTACTGTGTTATGTTTGTAAAGATTTGTATAAAGGTAGGCATATAGTTTGCGAATAGGTTAACACCAACACAGTTGTATGTAAGTGCTCAAATCGGATTTCTTGATTGTTTGAACATCTTAAAAGATACACTATAGATACTTTGTTAAGTTCTGGAAAACAATCTATCCATCTTCAATCCATATAATTTTTGCAATAAGGGGTTTCCCTGTTACATCCCTTTTCCAGCCGTCCAAATTGATTTTTACGATTGAGGTGTAGTTTTACATCTTCAAAATCGTGCTAACGCATATTTATACCTGTTAATAACATACCAAAGCACATATTTGTAAAAAATAAGTGCTTATTGTAGTTTGCCAAACAAATGAACAAAGCTGTTAAAGAAAAAATTTAAAATAAGTTTTGAGAACAAATAAAGTTGTAAGTATTCATATAGTGTACGGTACAACAAATTGTTCTAACATAATTCTTTTCCGCTGTAAATGTAAATGAACACAAAAACAAAAAGGTTTTGTCTGATGAATAATGCAGTAGTATGCACCAAGACACTGGATGTGGATGCATATTGCAGACTACTATTGTTTATTATCACTCAGACCACATACAAATTACAAAATTGATGTGCTAATTTGGTTTAACGTATGAATACAAAACCTTAACCAACCTTTCTTTTATTTTCATGCAATGTTTACAATGGATAGTAGGCTAGGTTAGGAAAATTGAAAAAAAAAATAATTTAATGTAATTTGAATGCACTTAGACTTTACAAAAATACTTCTCAGCTTCTTTAGGGAAAGTGCATACCTTATTTTACCTATTAATTCAAATCATATGCCAAACAGTAAAAAATTAATGAAACCATCAATTTATTTTGTAGGTAGTGATTGTAACCCTGTTAATTTTAAAGAAGAGTATGTTATTAAATGTTACCGAATTATCAAGTGCTTAGTTGAAATTGGAAATGTGTAAATGTATCGCAATACTATTCTCATTTACCCAAGTAACGGGATTACCAAGGCCATTAACATGGATACTTGTTGAGCTGTAAAGCCGAGATTATTGCAATGGAGTGAGCCTATGGTTGCTATGGAGACTGTTGTAGTTACTCTAACTGTGATTTTCAAGAGCTTCCCGAACCATGCATGTGCATATTCAATGATTTGTATTGGAAAATATACAATTGAGCTATTGTTGGACACTGTATTGTCCATCAAGTGGAGCTAAGCCCACTGGTTTATTGGACGGTTCTGGGTTATACATATTTTGTTTGGAATTATTGTTTGAATAGTGTTTGAACTTTATTAATACAGCTAGTTTACATTATATCCACATAGCTAGATCAAATGACATACAAAAATGGTTTGATTGTTAAAAAATAATCAAAAAATACACATAGTTTCCATTTTTAGAAACTCTTAACATCAAATAACTAAATGAAAGAGGTCCTGCTAATAAAACCATTATATCATACCTATACCTTTATGGTGCATTCATACATTTTTCTAAAACATAAATGTAGGAAACAAACTTTAAAGAATGTAGCCTAACATGATGATTTGATTTCACTCGTCAAAATAGTTGACATTTTGAGTAGTTTTTAAGTAGATTTTAAGTCGCTTGGATTCATATTAAAAGTCATTTTGACAATTAAAATTAAAATTGGATTTAAAAAATAAACAATAATAAAAGTCTAACACTTCTATGTACTATATTTGTAATATTTGCAGTACTAGTGGAAATATTTGAGTGGAATTATACTGAGTGGAAATATTTGCAGTAAGAAACCCACAAAAAGCAAACCGATTCAAAATCACTCAAGGTGTCTTACCAGAGCTGCAAGTCCCCCTGTAGATGATCCGGAGATTCTTCTTGGAGCGGCAAGACTCCAAGCGGAGACTGCACTCGTTGGAGTAGGTCTTCCCGTCGGAACCACAGACAGGAGTAAACTCCAGGGAACAGGAGTCTCCGCAGCGACACACAGGTTGGCGCTCCTCGTCCAGCTGACAAACCTCTGGCTCCACACACTCCAGGTTCTCACACGGGTCTACGAACACAACAGAGACAAGTAAATGAAACTATCTTGACAAATATGCATGAATATACACAGAGTCTCCACACCTCGTCCAGCTGACATACGTCTGGCTCCACACACTCCAGGTTCTCACACGGGTCTACCAACACAGCGGAAACAAATAAATGAAACTATCTTGACAAATATGCTTAAATATGCACAGAGTCTCCACACCTCGTCCAGCTGACATACCTCTGGCTCCACACACTCCAGGTTCTCACACGGGTCTACCAACACAGCGGAAACAAATAAATGAAACTATCTTGACAAATATGCATGAATATACACAGAGTCTCCACACCTCGTCCAGCTGACATACCTCTGGCTCCACACACTCCAGGTTCTCACACGGGTCTACCAACACAGCGGAAACAAATAAATGAAACTATCTTGACAAATATGCTTAAATATGCACAGAGTCTCCACAGCGACACACAGGTTGGCGCTCCTCGTCCAGCTGACAAACCTCTGGCTCCACACACTCCAGGTTCTCACACGGGTCTACCAACACAGCGGAAACAAATAAATGAAACTATCTTGACAAATATGCTTAAATATGCACAGAGTCTCCACAGCGACACACAGGTTGGCGCTCCTCGTCCAGCTGACAAACCTCTGGCTCCACACACTCCAGGTTCTCACACGGGTCTACCAACACAGCAGAGACAAATAAATGAAACTATCTTGACAAATATGCATAAATATGCACAGAGTCTCCACAGCGACACACAGGTTGGCGCTCCTCGTCCAGCTGACAAACCTCTGGCTCCACACACTCCAGGTTCTCACACGGGTCTACCAACACAGCAGAGACAAATAAATGAAACTATCTTGACAAATATGCTTAAATATGCACAGAGTCTCCACAGCGACACACAGGTTGGCGCTCCTCGTCCAGCTGACAAACCTCTGGCTCCACACACTCCAGGTTCTCACACGGGTCTACCAACACAGCAGAGACAAATAAATGAAACTATCTTGACAAATATGCATAAATATGCACAGAGTCTCCACAGCGACACACAGGTTGGCGCTCCTCGTCCAGCTGACAAACCTCTGGCTCCACACACTCCAGGTTCTCACACGGGTCTACCAACACAGCAGAGACAAATAAATGAAACTATCTTGACAAATATGCATAAATATGCACAGAGTCTCCACAGCGACACACAGGTTGGCGCTCCTCGTCCAGCTGACAAACCTCTGGCTCCACACACTCCAGGTTCTCACACGGGTCTACCAACACAGCAGAGACAAATAAATGAAACTATCTTGACAAATATGCTTAAATATGCACAGAGTCTCCACAGCGACACACAGGTTGGCGCTCCTCGTCCAGCTGACAAACCTCTGGCTCCACACACTCCAGGTTCTCACACGGGTCTACCAACACAATAGAGACAAATAAATGAAACTTATCTTGACAAATATGCTTAAATATGCACAGAGTCTCCGCATCGACACACAGGTTGGCGCTCCTCGTCCAGCTGACAAACCTCTGGCTCCACACACTCCAGGTTCTCACACGGATCTACCAACACAACAGAGACAAATAAATGAAACTATCTTGACAAATATGCATAAATATACACCGAGTCTCCACACCTCGTCCAGCTGACATACCTCTGGCTCCACACACTCCAGGTTCTCACACGGGCCTACCAACACAACAGAGACAAATAAATGAAACTATCTTGACAAATATGCACAAATATGCACAGAGTCTCCACACCTCGTCCAGCTGACATACCTCTGGCTCCACACACTCCAGGTTCTCACACGGGCCTACCAACACAACAGAGACAAATAAATGAAACTATCTTGACAAATATGCACAAATATGCACAGAGTCTCCACAGCGACACACAGGTTGGCGCTCCTCGTCCAGCTGACAAACCTCTGGCTCCACACACTCCAGGTTCTCACACGGGTCTACCAACACATCGGAAACAAATAAATGAAACTATCTTGACAAATATGCATAAATATGCACAGAGTCTCTGCAGCGACACACAGGTTGGCGCTCCTCGTCCAGCTGACAAACCTCTGGCTCCACACATTCCAGTTTCTCACACGGGTCTACCAACACAACAGAGACAAATAAATGAAACTATCTTGACAAATATGCATAAATATGCACAGAGTCTCCGCAGCGACACACAGGTTGGCGCTCCTCGTCCAGCTGACATACCTCTGGCTCCACACACTCCAGTTTCTCACACGGGTCTACCAACACAACAGAGACAAATAAATGAAACTATCTTGACAAATATGCATAAATATGCACAGAGTCTCCGCAGCGACACACAGGTTGGCGCTCCTCGTCCAGCTGACAAACCTCTGGCTCCACACACTCCAGTTTCTCACACGGGTCTACCAACACAACAGAGACAAATAAATGAAACTATCTTGACAAATATGCATAAATATGCACAGAGTCTCCGCAGCGACACACAGGTTGGCGCTCCTCGTCCAGCTGACATACCTCTGGCTCCACACACTCCAGTTTCTCACACGGGTCTACCAACACAACAGAGACAAATAAATGAAACTATCTTGACAAATATGCATAAATATGCACAGAGTCTCTGCAGCGACACACAGGTTGGCGCTCCTCGTCCAGCTGACAAACCTCTGGCTCCACACACTCCAGGTTCTCACACGGGTCTACCAACACAACAGAGACAAATAAATGAAACTATCTTGACAAATATGCATAAATATGCACAGAGTCTCCGCAGCGACACACAGGTTGGCGCTCCTCGTCCAGCTGACAAACCTCTGGCTCCACACACTCCAGGTTCTCACACGGGTCTACCAACACAACAGAGACAAATAAATTAGACTATCTTGACAAATATGTATAATGCACAACAGTTTGTCTGTGTATTGCAACGGGGTTTGAAAATGATAAAATATTGTCCTAATTACAGTTAAACGAAGGTTAAGAAATTTATAAATTGGGGTTTTGAACGTTTTTCCAAAGTAGGTAGCGTAAATTTCCTTTTTGACTGTAACGAACAGACATCTAAAAATATATTAAAACAAACAGACAAAGAGATGGATGGAAATGTAAATATTTAAATAACCAAAAACCCAATGATTCTAAGCAATACACAGTAGTACATATTTTTTAATTTTTTTTATTGTGCAACTATAAAATGTGGTAAAAGCATTTTTGTCTAAGGAAGTTCCTAATTTCTGTATTTATAAATTAAAGGTATATTCAGTATTTTAGGATACAATTCAATACTCCATGTAAAACTGAGCCTATGAACAGAGCGCATGAATAAATCAGTTTATTTAATTTAAAATTACTAACTGAAAACAATCTTTTCCTACCGTTGCATGGAAATTATCACATTACCATAGCTATAAACAGTACACAAAATAACTAACTCTTTGCTGCTCTAGAGCAGGAAGGAAACATAAATGAAATGACATCATATGTAAATCCAAAAAGTTAATCTGTGTATGATTATAAGGTTATTATGGTGGTAGGAAAAAGCTTGTCTGTATTACGAGCACCAACAGTCATTATTATAGTCGAGCACCGCTCTCTAAATGTATGACCGCACTCAGCTAAAACTTCGTACGGCCATCTATAGTTCTCGAGGGGCAATGACTTACTTTGCGCTCTCAAATGATATACATAAATAGCTATAATTGTGTGAAATACTAACTGGCCGCTTAAGTTGTGTGGTCAGCAGAGAAAATTCTTAACGCACTAAACATACTTTCTCCCATTAGCTTGCCAACAACGTTTATCTTGGGTGGTGAGAGTAACTAACTATGATATTTAATAGGTGAAATCACAAAAGTTGCATTAACTTTTGAACCGTAATTTTTACAGCAATTGGGAGTTGTACTATGATGTTAAGAGTTAAGGACCATGCAAACACCATGTGACATACAAATTATAATCAAAACTGGCTTTTTCTAAAATACGTTTTATTTTATTTTATGGGAAAATAGCATAAGTTACAATAACTTTGGAACAGTCATTTTTACGGAAATAGAATTTGTAGCCTACTATTTTGTTCACAATTTAAGGGACTATAACATATTAAATGTTTTCATAATCGTTTGGGCCATTTTTGAGAAATTCCTATTTTTCCGTTATTTCATGGGTTTTTATGGGAAACCCTCATAAACATCAAAATTTCTTAAAATGAAAAAAAACCTGGAGATACTATGGATTAGTACCTAGAGGTACATACCAAAATTCATCAAAATCGGACTACAGTTTTTGTCTGTAGATCTGTACACATCCACATATACAGACTCACAGACAGACAGACATCACTTCGAAAACCACTTTTTTTGGGTTCAGGGGGGCCCAAAACAGATATATCCACTCAAAACTCAAACTCTTAAATTTTGACGAAAACAATACTTGCTCCATTTATACTATGGTATAGGGGGAGAAAGTAAAAATTAAGGTAATAAGTAATTAACATCTTATGACATGCATATTATAGTCTCCTATCCTAAAAAATACGATACACACCAAAGTAACACAAATAAAGAGCACTAATTAATAATGGCCATTAAAAACATAAAGTACAGAACAATGCTGTAATCACTATTTACCAACAACACAAAAGAGAGAAAAATTACTTGAAAAGTGAACAGTTGGGAACAAGAGCGAACGACTGGAGAATTAGAGTCACATTTAGAATGTCCGCCTCTTGCTTTGCAACAAAAGAACCGACCGACTGGATTGGTAAGATACTTTATAGATATACCCTTTCTTGCTACTTTATTTAGTGTTTTTCTCAACTTGAATGTTTTCCTTTTTGCTTAGGCGAGATTGTTCCCTCTCAATTTCTGTGACGTAATAATTTTGTCCACTTTTGGGACTTGTCTTACAACCGTTTCTGTGTTATGTTTTGTATAGCAAGTTTTTTTGCCTTTAGAGGTAGATGTTTAGGATGTCAAATTTTATAAATAAAGGGTTTTAACAACATACT